AGGTGTTTTCTATAAAGTTCAGGAAATGGTTAGTCAGACTTCTGCACAATCTGTTTTTCAGAATTGTTTTTAAACAAAATTTCAAAATCAATATTTTATTTTCCTAAATTCTGATTTAGTATAGTTATTATAATTATTTATTATTGCTTTTTAAGTTTTGTGTTATTTGTATTACCAGTGTAAGTTTATCATATTCTTATGTGTATGTCTGTCTGCATGTATATGTACAGTATGTGCAGCTGTTATGCTGGATCTACTGCATCGGATGATTTATTGTTAGTGTGAGCCCATCAATGCAGATGGTGATGTTTGTGTTGGTGGAGTCCATTAGGAGAACATTATGCACCGGTAGTTCGAAGCTCAGGAGTGTCTTAGTGGGAGAAGTTGCTCAAGTGTGGATAATCACATCACCTGTCTCTGCCGGAGAGACGCTCATGGGGAAAAGGACACGGAGCCTGTTGTTCTTCCTTCTCCTCACTTTCTGTAGCTCCCTCCTTCTCTCTGAGAGGTATAACTCCTTTCATCTTACAGTCCTGCTTTCCACAAGTCTATTCCTTCTTACCCTTCCCTTTGTTTCTCTTTCATCTACATTTATTCCTCACTATTTCTCTCTCTCCTTTGCTCTCTCTGTCTCTCTCAGCTCTTAGGTCCGCTGCCCTGCATCCTCTAAATTATTCACATCCGAACACTTTGCATCTTCTGTGCTGTTCCGCTTCATCCATCCAGAATTTTCCCTGTCTCATACAGTTGTCTCTCTAGGTGTGTGAACGTGCGAGCGCCTGTGTGTCTATTTAAAACCCAATTGCAGACGGGAATGCTCACTCTCCGTGCTCAACATCTGTGTACGCTCCCCTTTTATAGGCGAGTTTCCTGTCTCTTCCTTTAAGGTTTAGCTCACTCATCCTCCATCTCTTCCTTTATCAAGATCTTAACCATTCAAGCACGCACACAGAAACATGTCCTCCATCTGAGACACTCTGTCTTTATGTAGTGATTAGCCTCTTTCTGTTCCTCTGAGGAGTCATTGTGCTGTGGATGAATAAGAGGCCACCTGGGAGCGGCTAATAGTCCCTGATAGACTGTCAGTCGAAATGTCAGTTGCAAACTACACACACTAAAACACACATGTGTGCACCGATGCAGATTCACACAGGGCATTCGCTCAAACACACCCTCCACTTGTGTCCGTTATGTGTCCTGAAGTCCCCCACTGGCTCTCTAAAGACAGCTCCAGTGACTGACTGCCTGACAGGAGGGATCTAGTGTAAAGGTCAGCTGGCTTAATTACTGATGATTAGCACCAGACTAATTGAAATTCTGGCTCCAAATAAATGGCTCTGATTGGCGATGACTTCAATAATAATGGGGCTCAGAGTAATTTAATGCTTAAATGTCCATTACTTTATGAGTCAGCAGTCAACTGTAAAAGTGCATTTTTGATTGGTCTCCCACCTAATAGGATCCCAACTTTTTTGGTGCATGAGCCAACATCTGTGTTGGGATGGTAGATGCATTTACTTGCATAATGATCCTTCAGAGAGAAAAGTAGAAGAGGCAGAAACATTTTCTCAAAGCGGAGGGCTGATGCTCCACTGACTTTGCTCCGTTCCCCCGTCGGCGGTGCAGCTGTGAGGGCGAGCCTGACAGTTTCTTTTCCTCACTTGATCAAAGGGCGGATGTGCAGTAGGTAGCTAGATCCTGCCCTTATAGGGCAATATTAATACACTTTTTCTTATTTTGAGAAGCGGATATTTGTCTCGAATATGGTATAGACATTACTTACCACCGATTTTTTTTGTTGTCTTTGTTTTTTAATAATGATAATGTAAAAAACGGTGAGAGATCCTCTCTTGTAGCAACACTGGTTACACTGACAGCTGGTTTGCCATAAGGCTTCTCAGGTTTTGCTAGTTGTCATGTTTTATTCCCAACAAAAGGAAAAAAAATAAATCAAGCAGACTGTGACGCACTAGGATGCCAATGTAGCGACAGCTGCTTCCTTCAGAATAAAAACCAGCTTATCAAAATGAAGGCAGCTTATTGATTGATTGATTGATTGATTGATTGATTGATTGATTGATTGACTTTATTGATTTTATTGATCTCATATTGGAGAAATGTACTTACTATTGGCTCAATAGTCAAAAAGAAAAAGAAGGTGCCAAAAGGAGGCAAGGGTGCATGGGGTATATACATTTATACAGTGTTACTGTATATATATGACAGCTGAAGTCTCTTATTTAGCAGGATTATTATACAGGGTTATTGCACAGGGTATTTACATGGGTATTTATATAGATGGCTATTTATCTACATAGCTATTGCACTGGGTGTCAAATATAAAAAAAACAGGTTATTGCACAGGGTATTAAATAGTAATTACAAATCATACACTGGACAAGTTATTGCTGTTGTAGTGCCGCATTGTAGAGTCTGGTGGCAGCAGGGATAAATGACCTATGGTAAACACTCCTTTTTACAAACAGGGTGTTAAAATCTTTCACTATAGGAGCTGCTCAGGGGGGAAGGTGAGGGTGAGGGTGTTGTCCATGATGGATGTAAGCTTGAACAGCAGCCTCCTTTTAGTCACTTCCTCCACTTAGTCGAGAACACAGTCTGGGACAGAAACGACTTTTCTCACCAGTTTTTTCAGTTTCTTTCTGTCCTGCTCTGTGCTGCCAGGGGATCAGCAGACGGCCCAGATTAACACTTATTACTAGACTCTTTTTGGCTTAGCACACCAGGTGAACTTATGGTGGACGCATGTTTATCTGTGAAGATTCTCAGTCATCCAGGTCATGGTCAAACTTGGAAAGTTCAGTTTTGGCCACTGGACTTTTTGCCTCCCATCCAAAACGGTTCTCGAGTTCTAACTAGTGGTGAGGAGCACTGAGATTAATGTACTGTAGCCTCTTGGATGAGATGCCAAACTTCTTCTGGTCTGCCAAGACGGAACTCTTTCAAGCTAGATGCATATTGTTCCTTATCTTGGATTGAAGACTTGCTTTTAGAGTGATTCTGAGAATGAGGTACATCTGTGCTCTGTACTCAAAACAGAGCTTGGTGGCAGAGATCTGAAGTTTTAATCCAAAACTGATGAGGGTGAGCAGCCAAAGTTGAACCAGGACATTAAAAGTCAACAGGTGGACGCATGAATCGGCTGATTGTGTGTGCATTTGTGGGACCTCATGCCTTTCTTCAAGCAGATTTATTCTGACAGCTCTTTTAGAGCGTGTGTGCCTGGCTGAAGAGAAGCGGCAGAGGGAGCAACTGTGCACACCTTTATTCTTCAGTTTGCTGTCCCACCCCAGGTAGATGAAATAGAATGCATTATTTCTGCCTACAAGGGGCCTTGCTTTGAAGTAACTGTTTGCATAATGAAAGCAGAGAGAATCAGGATTGTTATGCTGTTTAAATCCCTTATGCTGGCTCCCCCTCTTTCTGTTTTGTTCTTCCTCTCTCCTGTTTTTCTTTCTGTCACTCTTTCATTGTCCTAATCGATTCAAATCTTCTTCTGTCCTTTTTCTTTTTTTTTTTAAAGCTCTACGCCTCCCTACCCAGCCTTCCCCATTCAACTTCTCTCCTTCAGACTTACTCGCTCACACAAACACCTTCTCATCTTGTTCTTTTAGTTTATTATATCCATGTTTCCATTTGTCAGCCTGTTGTGATTGATTGTAACCGGAGCTGTTAAAAGGCCACACACGCGCCCGTCGATGCCGGCGTCTCACAAGCCATCGGCCATGGTTCGATGAGCCACTGCCAAAATTAGCATCTCCTCGGTGAGATTTTGTGCTAGGATTTCCCGTTAATGAGGTTGTGTGTGGTGGAGAGGGATACGCTCACCAGGGATTCTGGGGTAAATGAAAAAAAAAAGAGGATAAACTGTCTTTCAGATCAAACACAGCTTCTGCACACACAGGAACAGTAATTCTTAGCTCATCTTACTCTCCTTTCTGTGTCAGCCTTTACTATGTGTTCCTCAGAGCGCTAATATTTTATTTTCAAAGGGGAGACTCAGTCATGATTTGGTATTTTTTTGTTCCTATTTTACTCTAAGTTTGAATACAGCCTCTTTTATTTCTGAGCAAGCTCCTCTGTCTTTGATCCTCATACTCCTTAGACTCTACGCTTCCCTTCCCCCCATTTAAATCTCCCTCTTCAGGTGAGTAAAACTAGCCCTCTGCCTTTGATTTTCTGTATCGACAGGCAGTGGCTTTGCAGATTTAATTGCCACTGATCTCTATGAATTCACATTTGATTCACCCTCCCAACAGGGTCTGCGAGTCCCAGTGGGCCCATCTTTATTGGATGTGCCTTTTTGATTTTTTTTTTTGCGAGAGGTGAACTTCAACAGATGGTCGACAGAAAAAAAGTGCAGCTCATTTGCTGCTGATTTCCAGCAGAATAGAGAATTGATTTTCACTTGATTTTCATTCGCGCAGCCGTCGCCTGAAGCTTTATCTTTTTTTTCTTTCTTTTTTTTTCAGGTAGAGTAAAATGTTACTCATTCTGTTGGATCTGTTCAGTCCCGCTTCTTGTCTCTAACCTGATGCAACAATTCAGGCATAAGTGGAATATAAAACCAACTCTTTTTTTTTTTTCTTACTGGTATCCTGTGGGGTGTCAAGTTGTCGCTTTTGCTGAGTCTCTTGAAGTTTCAAATATCATGTCGTTTATTGATTTTCATATAATTTGCACAACAGCAAGCTTAACCTGAGGTAAAACGTCTTCCTGAAACTGTGCTAATATGACTTGCGCAGATTCACTGATCAACGTTTCTGAAGATTTGGCCACATTTGTAAGATTGACTGACTAACCCAGAAGTATGAACAACCAGAGGAAAAAGGTTTTCATTACATACCACAGCTTTGTTCATTTTTAGTACTGAAATGTGAAAATAGTGACATAGATCAACAGAAAAAGTTAACAGACATTTATTTTGCTCAGCTATGAAGTAACAGCATTACAAAAGAGTTTTGGTAATCTAAGCAATACTATGCATTATGTGCAGTTTTTTTCTGCATAGTCTCTGCCAAAACCATTTGCTCTGACACCCCTTCAGAACCGTACAATTCAGAAATGCTTTACATTTAACCAGTGCAGCTTATTGAAACCAAAAAAAAAAATCCTCCCTTTAACACCCAACGAGAAACATTTCCTAGAGAGGCAGTAACTGAACTCCTACATGTCAGGACCTGCAGGATAGATTATGGTTTTGGTTTGGTTCATGTTATTTTTGCCATTTGACTTCCGTTCCTTTAATTTATGTTTTCTTATTTAGTTCTTTTGTATATTTCTTACGGTTTTCACCATTATTTAAGTCTTCAGTTAGTTGTCAATATACAGCAGCTGCCAAAACCTTTATTAAATTCTCAAACTCACCATCCTGCTTGCTAAGTTCTGTCTCCACTTCGGTCCAGAATGCCCGAATAAGACACCACAGCTTTGAAGTGCTTCGTTTGCTGCTTTTTAAAGTCTTTTTTCAATGGCTACGTTCACACTGCAGCCTGAAGTGATCCAAATCCGATTTTTTGGCCCATATGCGACCTGGATCTGATCTTTTCATGGCAGTCTGAACAACACAGATCTGATTTTTTTCCAATGCGATCCAGGCCACTTGGCTTTTTGGTCCTGAATCTGGTACGAATCTGATCTTTTCAAATGCGACCTGTGTCTGAATGGCCAGGTCGCATTCATCCGACCTGAAAGCCATTAATACCCAATAAAGGTCACTATTCTGGTTCTTGCTATGAAGAAGTGGCAAGAAAAACAACAACCATGGCAGATGATGTTGGGGAGAGCAGTATTTATGTTTAACCATCTTGAAAAGATTGTGTTTTTATGGTTGGGAAAGATCGCTAGATGCGCTCCAGTACTACCATCCATGTTTACTTGCATAAACACAGAGCACTCTGGCCTGTGATGTCATTGTGTTTTCTACTGCGCATGACGGACACTTGCATTGTATGACTGCAGTTCACACAGGAGATCACATACATGCTGCATATATTTGGAAATGTGAACGGCAACGCAAAAAATCGGATTTCACATAAAAAATCGGAACTGAGCTTCAAGGCCTGCAGTGTGAATGTAGCCAATGTTGGCACAAGTCCATCATGAAAGGACCCAGAGGAAAAAAAATGGACCAAAAAGCCACTGATTTTTCCACATAAAAAAAGTAAAAAAAATTTCCAGAAAACCCTTGCTTCCTTTGCACAAGTACACTCAACAGATTCACGGACTTACAGGATTTTTTTTATGTTAAAACCTGATAGTTATGCTTGTCATTTTGGGTTAATTTGTTGTTGTTTTTTTAAGTATTAATCAAACATACATTTAAGATTGATGCCATTCTACTTTGTTTGCACAGAAGCCATTTTTCTGAAAAACCTAACAAGTTTCATAATCAAGAAGCTAAAATGAATGTCAAAGAAGCATAAGATGGGTTGTAAAGTATGGACCATTAGGCATTAATGAGTTTCAGTTTATAGAGTTATTAAATATCATTAAGTTGTATCTTTTGAATACTATCTGCCCCATTGGCTCAGTGACCCGTGTGTCTAGTGAATCTAGAGCCATCGCTTTGCACGACAGAAGAGAACGGGTCACTGCACTCAAATGTAAGTAGTTATTTCTAATCCTCATAGATCAGGATGTTCTGCTAGCGTGTAAAAAGAGGTAGACACAGGATGTACTTGCTCCTGAGTGAGCAGAAAATCTGAAAGAAAAAAAACTATTTAATGTTAAAATTCTTCTTATTTAACAACATATTAGCAATTATTTTTAACTGAAGTGCCATTTTGGTAAAACATAAAAAACAAAAAAGATCATGCTCATCTGGATGGGATCAGTCTATGATTCAAGTTTTGTGCTTAGATATCTTTTTTAAAGGTGATTTAATGGGGTCATACAGTGATGGACGTTGTCAGCAATATTAGATAGCATCATTGTGAGGGTTTTAAATGATGCTTAGCTTGTACTAAGGGACCCAAAGTGCCTCATAAACATATCCCACTCACTATTTTAAATTCCTGCCAGGAAGGATCGTTACAGGATACAGGTTGGGATGCATTGATATGTGTTTAACTGTAACCGTGCTCATCTGATGTAAGAGCAGGAATCAAGCAGTTAGTAGTTGTCAGGACATGGGTACAGTAGAATTTATTGCCAGTGTATTTAATCTGTTTTTTTTTATTCAGAAATGGTTTTTCGCAGATGTTATTTGTTGTGATTAGAGAAGCGATTGTTCCATCAATACATAATCTCCCTCATTTACATGTTTATTCAAAGAGAACCGGAACTACAATCCATATGTTTTCTCTTAAAGTCCAAATAAAGAAAAAGTGGAAAATAAAGATTATACGGTAGTGTTTGTGTGGTGTTGTTCTTTTTTTTAAAGCTGTGGCAAAACCTATCAGCAGGTATAAGAGGTTACCAGGTGCTTACTTTGAAATGTTCCTAAAACCAGTCAGGTACTTTTCAGATTTTTTCTTGAACTCTTAAGTTTCTTGGAGATTTAATTGAATGTATCAGAACTTTCACAAGCTTTAAAGGTTATTTCCCTTAAACTTTCCCAGTTATACTTAAGTAAAATCATCAAAACCTTTCTTTGATATAACAGATACTTTCAAACATACAACTCACTTGCATTTTATTTTAAAAGTACTTTATTTATCCTATTATATTTTTTTGGCTGGGCAATTTTTTTTTTTGGTGATGAAACAAGCTCCAGGAACTTATGAAAACTCCTTTGATCTTATCTTGTAATTTGATAAAACCGTTCTAGGTTTTATGCGGTACTTACCAGAAACTCTAAATTTGCCACTTTCCACAAACTTACCTGGGCTCTAAAGTTTGAGTGAAGAATTGTCTGAAGTGTTCTTTAAGGTTCTATAAATAACTTGTGTATTTAATGTGTTGCAGAGGACCAACTGCCCCCAGGGTTTCCCACCATTGATATGGGACCCCAGCTAAAAGTGGTGGAGCGTTCACGGACTGCCACCATGCTCTGTGCAGCAAGCGGCAACCCTGACCCAGAAATTACCTGGTTCAAGGATTTCCTTCCGGTCAACACGTCCAATAATAACGGTCGAATAAAGCAGCTCCGCTCAGGTAACCCCTGAATTTATCCCCTTATTTTTTCCTCCCGCCCTTGAATCCCTGCTTTTATTTCAACGTGGCGGTTCTTCTTACCCAATGTTATTTTTTCTTCCCTCCCATCCCTAATCTGTTTTTCCTCTAAAACTGTGTTTTTTAATTCTTGATATGGTTCCTTTATGCACTTACTGATATTTAACCAATTTCTTACAACGCTTCCACCCTACTCGTCCTGCTGCTGCTCCTCTGGCTGTTTTTTTTCAGCTGCCTTTCTCTGCCGCTGCTGTATTATGAGCTGGCTGTGTATGGTCACCTCCCCCTGGAATCAGTTCAAACCCTTTTAAAGTGAAATCCAGACTTTTCTCCAAACTATCTGAGGACTTCCTGTACAAATCCCCATCACGGAAAGATTGCTCCTCACAAATCATACCCCTGAAATGTCCATGAAAAGTATCAGCTTTATTTTATTTTTTTTACCAACAAATGTTCCTGCTGTCAAATGTTTATAGCAAAACCAAGTGATGGTGGTTTGTACATAAAGGAATAGCCTCTTTTGAAGTAGCCCACTGCTGTGACTAAAGACTCAATCTTTTGTTTTTTTGTCTTCATGTTTTGCAAAGATTGTTTCTAATTAAATGGAAATTTACTTTCTAAAGCTTTCCTCGTGCAATTTAAGGAAATATGCACTAAATTCCTCCAACTTTTTCATAGAAAATGACTGCAGTCAAGCAAGTTAAACCTTCTCCATCTGTTGTGTTCGATAGCCACAGTAGTGTGTAAAATCCCAAAGCCTGTTCCTCCTCAGTTCTCCCTTTTGCCTCCAGGGGCCAGCTCTTTACCCAAAACAAATTTTCTTGTAATTGGAGGGCCGAATTTCTGGCTTCATTATGGAAAACAACCTATTTGTTTCCGTCCCTGTTCAAATATTATAATCATTATTAATCATTTAGCTTATTTACAAGACCGTTCAAATGTGTTCCAACCCCTTGAAGCTTATCTCATTTTGTCATATTACATCACAAACTTTTATATATTTTACTTAGAATTTGATTGATTCAAGGTTGCAAATTACTAAAGAGAAAAAGTAAAAATGCTTGTAATTTTTTAGAGTATATTAAAACTGGGGGTGTATAAAAAGAGTGCTGTGTTTATAAGCCTTAGAAAAAGTGTCATCAAAGGTCACCTACTTAGGTAATAATGTCCAATTGTGTGAAATTGAATCAGTTTTAGTTTTGGCAGCACATTTTAATGTAGTTTTAGTCATAATTCAGTCGCCTGAAGTCATTTTGTGTAATTTTATTTAACAAAATTAAGGTCTACTAGAATATGAAATCCTGGAGGAATAATTTTTTTCTCACTTCTTACATGCTAAATAGAATCAAAGTCCTCTTTTGCAATAAAACATATTTAGTAACCTGAATGAATAAGCCCCTTGGGATGAAACCATCATGTTTTCAAGAGGGTCCTTAAATTTCCACCTTCAAATAACATCCATTTAAATATCAATGCCAATATTTTCTATCCAGTTTTTATTTCGGGTTTGAAACCTTTACATAAGTAAAAGACATTTATTTTCCTTTGTACAGCTTAATAAATCTCATTAGAACAAGGAATGTTACAAAATATGAAGGATTTTTTTTTATGATTATCTACTTGTTTTTACTTTTTAAATGCCATCAACTTTTTTTATTTTTATCGTTAGGTTCGAAAATAAAGAAAAACACATTTTGAAAACAAAAATGGATACATTCTCTTCTTTTGTGAGATATTAATATCCTAAAGATCAAATGTGATTATTAGAGAAAAAGAAAAGAAAGTGAAAAACTGTTAAAAAAATAATTTCTTTGTAGTTTTTTTTAGAAAATCTATTTTAAAAGGTTAAATAAGTCACTTAGTATTCTGGAGCAACAGGTTGTTGTCCTGTAAATTTCTAAGAGGTTATTTAGAGAATACAAATGAACAAATGGCCTTCCAAGGGCCATCTAAGACACGAGACCTACTGTAAAGCAGGGTGATGGCAGCGTTAAGCTTTCGGGAGGCTTTTCCCTTTAACAATGGGGAAGCTGATTTGATTTAAGGTTCAGTTGGTTGACGGGTAAGAACCCAAACCAGAGCCTCAAAGGAACGGTTTCAATAAAAGCACAAATCCGGTCCAACTCTAGACAGAGAATCTGGAAAGACTGAAAAACAGAATCCTAAGGGATTTACTTAAACCAATCGATTTCATGTTCTTTGCAAAAATGAATAGGTGAAATATCCATGCACTACACATGTAAAGCTACATGACCAAATAAAGTTGAAGTTGCAATTGCAGTGCGAGGTGGTTCAATAGAATAGTGATGAACTGAGAGCATATTCAAATACTTACCACAGTTTGCAAGCTTTTTTCTTTGCAACATACAATAACTGATCATTTTATAAAAAAGAATCCATTTTTTTATAAGATGACATAAGATGGCTTTAGTATGACAAAATGAAAAAAGTTCAAGGGGTGTAAATAATTTTTTACAGCACTGCATACTGTTAAAAATGTTAATTGATATATATATTTTTTACATGTAATCATAATAAACAGCTGCTAAATAGTTGACTTTCATTATTCCTGTTACTATAAAGTTGTATGTAGTGAAGTTCTTTGGAGTTCCGATACTTTTTCTAGGTGTTTCATCTAAGTCAAAACATCTTTGTAACCAGTGGTCCGATTATAATGCCCTGTCTATGCTGTTCTTTTCTCTTTGTATCTTTTTAACCACAGAGTCCTTTGGTAAGTGCTTCTGTTCCGAGGCCCACACCCTCACTGTCCACTTTTCTATTTACTGCTCACTAATGTTGCTACTGTCGCTGCTGCTGCTCACCTTAATTACACTTACTGCAGTGTTATTAAAATGCATGGCATGCATTTTACTAACGGTTACACACTATTCCAAACAAGAGGCTCAGTGGTGCATACACACGTTTACAGTAGCATCCCTGTGCTGTTAAGTTCAGAAGGCACAGTTCAAATGTTTTATATATATGAACTGAAACTCATTTACAGACATACAGACACTGATTTCTTTCTGCTTAGATGTAGCCCCTCCCTTCACCTTTGCACCTGCAGCTTTTCCACACCCAAATAACTACAACTTTCTCCTCACACTCACCTATTTACTTTTCCACTTGTTCACTAATTTAATTATTCTTTTCCTCACTCAGTCACTCACTCTTTTATCCACTCACCCACTTAATCTTTCCGCTCTGTTGTATAGAGTTACATGTCAATAAGCCAGACAGCTGATAGGTATGCCAGTGGTGGAGCCAGAAAAAAAAAAAAAAAATCAATCAATGGTGGCCAGGTTTTCAGACTACCAGACATTTTACTCCATAGTGTTAAATGCACAGACAACCAGGACATCAGATTTCAGTTTAGTGAAGTTAGTTTTGTCTTGGAATAGATATACTTAATTTGTATCATAAAACAAAAATCCACTTTTCAATAGTTTTTACTTTTCAATGCATTTTTGTCATTTTGAAGTGACGTTTTGTTGTTTTTTAGCCTTTAGATCTAGTCTTTCTAGATGATACACACAAGTAGGTCTTAAATATTCTTCCTCTAGTAACAAATCTTGATTTACCAGGCCATTTATGTCAGTAACTAAAGAAACCAGCCTGGTAAGGAGGAAAATAACATGATACATTGTTCCATCCTGTTAATTTGACTTAAGATTATGACTTAAACTGTTCACTTTTTTGTTATAATGTTATATCACTCTATTATTAGCATAATAAAGCTAATAATACAGCTAATAATAAATTATTAATTTGGTTTTTAGGAGTTATTTTTTGTACAGTCATAAGTTGAAGCTGCACTGAGAAATTACATTTCTTTTAACTGCTCTTTTAGACAAAGGAGAGGCCATCAATCTTCACACATTTTCAGGACAAATTTTACAGCAAAATGAAATGTTTATGGGGATTATCCCTTTTTCCAGACTGTTCCACCCAGCTAACTGACAGCTCCACACTATTCTTTGTCAAACCAGAGGAGAAATGGCCTCTGGCAATAAGAGTTCAAACCTGAAAAAAAACAAAACTTTACAGCAGAATTTCTATGTGGTTGTAAAACAGTGGCATTTCATAAATGTCATCGTGTTGCTCTTCAGTTGTTTTAACTGAGTAAAGATTAACCGTTTAAAACTAAATGTCATCCGTTTATACCTTCAATGGGCTTTAGCAAATACGTTTGTTATATAAAAGGTTGCATGAGTCGAGTATGGTAATGAGAATAGATTACAAACCAAATCTCTGTTGATTTAATTCAATCAGTTAGGTTAGCAAAGCTTTTTCTATTAATTGTGTGGAAAACTATGAGACAAATACATCGTCAGTAATGCATTTTTACATAAATAATTTAAAGTTCAAATAGAAGGATTTTTTTTTTTATCATGGTGATCGTTTGAATCTACAACAAATAAAAAGAAAATGTTGGAAGACTCCATTATTGGAAAGTGGATTTTTTAAATATGGTTTCTGTTAAATGCATAGGCTGTATATATTTACATATTCTGTGGCTTTTAGTTACGAACATCATTTTAACAAGTATATTTGAGAAGAGCAGTTTAAATCTCAGAGCCAGCTTTGTAGAGAATCCTTCCTATGCCTAAAGCCACATTTGCTCTGCTGCAAATCAATGAAGTCAGTCAATAACCAATCCCCTTGTAGCACTGCCACTGTCTCTCACTCTATCTGAAATCTGCTTTTCTCTTCTCAGGCTTATTCTGTCTTTATTTATTCTGTCTTATTCTTTTATGCCTCCACTTTCTCTCACTGTCTAAGGACCAGTATTTTAAATCTTCCTCTCTAATTTGATTTTTCTCCTTTAACAAGTTGCCCACCCCCACCCCCAAAGTCCCCTCCTCCCTTGTCCCTTTCTCCCTTTTTGTGGTACTAACATTTTCTTCTTCTTCTCCCTCTCTAATCTCGTGCATTCATTGCCCACTCAGGTGGCACGCCCATACGAGGTAAGACTGCTGGAAGGACCAACATGACACAGTGGCCTAATTCCTTTGCAACGCCTGCTTCCTACTTGTCTTGCAGGTCTGAATAGCAGTGCTTGGTGGGTTCATGCATGTGGGCTTCATATACTTTGACCCATTCGGGAAAAAAAATAAAAAAGAACTCACCAAACCGCTTCAGATCTGCAAGAGGAGAAATTGGAGTTGAGCAATAATAACATCATTAATGCTTTAACTGTCACCTACACTTTTCTCATCTGTCATCCTCTTCTCATATTGTCCCACCTCAGCCTCAGCGTTCACTCTGTAACAGAGACATTCATCTCTTTCATTATGTTTCTCTTTGTATCCATCATTTTGAATCCATTCCGTACGTCACCTGCACAGCGTTTACTATGCACCTTTGGGTTGCCGAAAAAGTGACAGATTTTCATAATTTGTTTCTAAGCATATGTATATCGGACGCTATACATAACGTTAGAAATGGAGGATGTTTTCATAAAAAAGCAGTTAACTTTAGAGGTAAACTCATGGTTGCGCTTTTACTGTAGGTTTTGATGGAGCTTGAAAGTTCTGCTCGCTCCAATATTTTGAGAGTTCCAAGGACACTTGTTCTACACTGAGAACTCATCATGGATTGATGTGTTACTTAATGACTTTAGCATTTCGCATTTCGCATTTCCCATCATGCAATTGTCAGCAACAGTTTCAGCTGCTTTCTATGCAGCTTTTTTTTTTTTTTTTTACAAGAGCTGATTTTAACTAAGATAATCTTTGAGTAAAGTGAGTTTATTTGTATAGAACATTTTAGTAACAAAGCGATTTAAAATGCTGACATTCACTTAACGTTTAAAGTATACAGGGAAAAGTCCATAGCTGTTTGACTGCAAAACTTGTTTTAGTTAACAGTTTAATCATAGAGAAGGCCACGTGCCCTTTGGTTCAAATATATTTAGGATTTTATCACTTTGAGTGCTTGTTCAGATAAGTGAAGCATAAGGCCTAAAAGCTGCTTCTTCGTGTTTGGGTTCTGGGTGTGTAGAGTAGCCTTGAACAACATGACCTGATTGGTCTGAGTATTGTATTTTGATGCTAAGCCATTCAGTGATTTATAGACTAACAGAATTATTTCTTTAGAGCTTGGATGATCTGTTCTACTTTTTTAATTCTAATGAGGACGTGGGCAGCAGCATTTTTGATTAACTGCTGCAAACTGCTGCAATATTCCATTCTGCTCAAAATAAACACATGAAATAGTTTTCAGGATCCTGCTGAGACCTTAGTCCTTTCATCCTGGAGATATTAATTAGGTGATAGAAGGCCGACTTTGTTATGTGCCTCTAAAAATGTAGGTCTGAGCCCAAAACTACTCGACTTTTGATCAGTGACACAAAGCAGGAAGGCGGGGTTTGAAGCAACCTTACATTCTTTCTTTTCCTGGACATCAGTACTTTAAACATGGATGGAAAGGGGTTAAAACTTTAAATCTCCTTTATCTAATGCGTTTCCCATACAGCATGGAGTGTTTGGAAGGTGGATCTGTTTCTCGTTGCTTAGTGTGAGTTTGTAGATTGGGTCCTTCCATCTATGCACGTTTGATTTTTCTCTTTCGTATCTCGATTTTCTTGGGGGTTTTTTTTCAAAAGGATTGACCCAAAGTTGACCCGACATGTCCTTCTACCTTGTCTCTATTTTGCCCAATAAAACGTCCCAGTTTTGTTTTCCCTCCCAGCTGTTATTCACTTTGCCTGAAGAGTCCAGATGGCGAACTCAGACCCACATTAGTCTGCTCACAATCCCACATAAACGCACACTCAAACACACACACACACACACGTCTTCATGGCTTTTTTTCATCACCTCCTATCTTCTCCTCCATTACGAAAACAAAAAGCCCCAAACGACCACTTTTTGATAAAGTTTTTTCTGGGCGCTTTTTTTTTGCCTCTCCACACCATCTTTAAAAAGAACCTCTGGTTGACTTTTTTTGACGGTTTTTCTATTTTCAGGGAGCGAGAAAGCATCGGTCCCTTCCCAAGGCTTTGCGTATGTCGTTTTTTTTTTTTTTTTTTTCCTTTTGAAATCTGTTGGCCTTGATGGAGCTCGAGTAATGTCTTTGCCTCCTTACTTACTGGGTGTGTTTTTTAAACTGACATCAATCACACTCCTGATCCCTCTGGTGGATCCGTTTTGGGATTTCTGATTGCCAAAGCAATGTCTTTGCAGATGTTATCCTTGAAAACTGTCTTGCTCCGCAATATAACCGAATTTCAATTTTCAGCTTTTTACAATAATATATTGATGACTTTTTTTTTCAAATCCTATAATGCAACTCTGTTTATGTGTTTCTGTGTTGCATGAAGACAACATTTTGTATTTTTGTAGGCTTTTTGTGTCACCTTTTGTTTGGCTTGTTCTCATTTGTTTATCAGCAAGGTGATGCTTGTTTTTAAAGGAGATTCTTTGCTGAAAGTGATAAAAACATCAGAATGACAGATATCACTCCCTTCTTAGCACCACCTGAAAAGGCCAGTGTGTTTTGTGGAAATCATCCCAAATATTTCTTTTTCTCAGAGGTTAAAAAAAAATCAAAACATCATTTTGAAATTAATTTTTGGGGTTTTTTTTGTGATGTCCATGTCTTTCATTGCTGTTTAACTGCTTTTTTCTCCTCTGTTTGTGACTTCTTCCCGTCTCTCTGCCTTCTACCCTCTCTATCTGATGCTTGTTCCATCCAGGTGCCCTACAGATAGAGATGAGTGAGGAAGGGGACCAGGGGAAGTATGAGTGTGTTGCCACCAACAGTGATGGGACACGCTATTCCACCCCTGCTAACCTGTATGTCAGAGGTAAGACAAAGCCTTTGCCCTCTTTATTTCACCAAGAATATTTTATAAAACGTAGGAAAAAGGTAACTTGGCAGTAGCCAGATTGATATGTGTAGAACTGGGTTGAGTTCTATGTTATCAATCTGGGATGGCTGCCATTCAGTCTGTCCGTGAAAAGGAGGGACGTTTAGTACAATACTTTGAGCTGATTGGGTGACATGCCAGGTATTACCCGCCTTCCGTAATACGCTTTCAGCCAATCGTAGCAGCGAATCATGACGTTTCGTAAGCTGATAAAACAAAATTCAATTGTAAAAAATTCAAAATTCTATTGTAAGAAAAGCACAGACATCTTTCCCATCTACAAATGCACAAAGTGCTTCTCTTTGCTCCTTCTTTAGGCAAGAAATTGTTCCTATTTTAGCCAAAATTGCGATATCGATAGTTGAGTCCTCCAGAGTTGGCATTTTTGTAATGCCCCGGCAAGGCCTTTCTGACTGTCGTCATTCCTACATCTCCCGCACAAAAACAACACTTACCGCTGTGTGTTGCAACATAAAGGAAATCTGCCCAAGGCTTTTGGAATCAGCAGTGCTTGCTGATCTAACCTTAACAATATTAGTGAGCAAGGTTTTCTTCAACCAATAAGATTTCAGATTTGAGGCCTAGGTACCATAAGTACTGCCTGCCCCTGATTTTGCTGTACATTGATCCTGAGGAAAAACCTGGTTTAAGAGTTAGGCCAAGGTTTGCCCCAAAGCTGGAAAGCGAACTCAAACAAACAGCCATTTATCAAAGATTGAATTAGATCAATTCTAAGAGGGGGCCTATAGCCAAAGGCATGGTTCTATATAAAAAAGCTCTTAATTAATAACAGCTGTTAATGGACTAATTGCAACTATTAATTGATTCATCAATAGCTGGTATTAATCAATAAAATAATCAATAATAAAAGACTAAATCTGTACCTTTATGTCTGATAAATTAAAGCTTCTTCACACATATCAAATAATCTGTTTCTAACTAGATTTTTTTAAAATGCATAACATGGAACGCCATTTTTCACTTTAATTCTTTAGTACCATGCTACCCTTCTACTTAGGAGTAGTATTGACCTCCTGATGAAGAGGGATGTTGTGGGTCCAGCAAGTTGGCCTCTGCAAAACTGGACTCTGTCCAATGCTCTAGGGAGTCTGATCAGCTGATAACACAGGACAAATCGCATTCCATTCCTGTTCTCTCACCTTAGATGTTCCCAGCAGAGCAGCATCCATCACATAGTGTCACAGCAGTAATACGATGTTTGCATCAATCAATGTGAATACCTCACACCTTGTTACATTTATGTGTTGATCTTAGATACGGCTTACCCTGTTGCTCATCGGGATTTACAAATATAAATACCACCGATGCTTTGATAAGGAATTTGAGTTGTTCATACTGTAGGCCTTTTTTTATTTATTTGATCTGTCCTCCTGTATCGTTATTGTTTAACAGTTTGAGCACGAACTACGCTGCGATATTGGACATTTTTGATGACATCAATCTATCTCATCTGAGAGTTTCAAATTCTCATCCTCATCGCCTCTGTGTTTTCTGCTGTCATACAAAATTTTACGTACTTATGAGTCACAGTTGTGAGGGAACACATTTCTATGCCAAATTTGATTTTGATAGATAACAACCTTTGTATGCAAAGTGGTGCACGGAGTTTCAGGCCTCAGTTTCTTTCCAGGCAAGACTACACAAAGTGCAAAAAGATCACAAAGCATTTCTACTTGCTCCTACTGAGTTTCAGCCACAAAATCCCAACAAAAGGCTCAACAGGTATAAATACTTTAGCTAAGCGCTGCGTATGAATATGCCCTGATGCTGTTATCTGCAGAATTTAAATTGGTTCTACTTGTAGACAGGAGTACGTGCAAAGCAGCAGCGAGGCTTGTTTTTCTCCTATAGCCATTAAACTCCTCTGCCCCTTCTTCTTAGCCTTTAGACCTCTGAAGAAAATCTGAATCATTGTCCACCGAGGACTTGTGTGTCCTCTCCAAATCTGACAGGCGTCTCACTTCCTCAGGCGCTGTCAGCCTCCCTGCTCCCTCGACATGCTCACACTTGCACCCGCCAAATGTTTGAATCTTGGAGACAATTTAATTCTTGGGGCTTTCGGCTCTTTTGTCCATCCACCTTGGCTAGAGGAAATAAAAACAACAACAATAGAGTGGGTGCTGACACAGTGCAGCATGCATTCTCAAACCTAGCGTTGCTCCTGGGCACACCATAAAAGCACATGCAGACATTTGCTGTGCACACATGAAGCCATGTCAGATTGTACGTATAAAACAAAGAGCAGAGAAACAGCACAGAGTCAGTGATGTGTGCCTAACAGTGCTTGCAAGGCCGGTAAAATCTTGCAGCAGTGCTCAGCGAGTGTTTGACAGGCGGTCTGTGGAGACAGCTGGCAGGGGAGGCTGCCTTAAACTGGAAGGCTTTTCACCAACATCAACCATCCAATATATGGCTCTGTCTATGAACTCTTTTTTTCTTTCTTCCTTGTTCTCTTGTCTTCTATACTTAACTTGTTTTCTCTTGCCGTCTGGTCTGATATTTCCTGTTTTCCCTTCTTTCCTACCTCCCCTGCTGTGCTTTGTCCTGCTTCCCTCTGCAGAGCTGCGAGAAGGTTGGTACACTAATGAATGCGTGGCTTTATTGTGGCTCCCCCAAATCTTTCTTTACTTTCACAAAATATCCATTAGCGAATGTGTGTTCTGACTGTGTGTGTTCTGAGTGTGTTATTTTTAAGAACTATAAGAAGTTTCTTTTTTTCATCTGTGTGCATGTATATTTGCTGTGACTTTTTTGTAATACTTTTTTGTTGCAGTTCATAAAACATTTAACAGTGTGCAGTTTTGGTGGCATTAATAAAACATTTTTTATATTACATGAGCCCAACTGATAATATCCTATCTGTCTGCTTGCAGCTTAATCTAAAGCCTGTAAAAACTTCATTTAGACCATGAAGTTCTTAAATTCTAATCATGTCCCTCCTTTTGCCTTTGTCGCTATGCGCTTCAGTGCGTCGCGTCCCCCCTCGCTTCTCTATTCCCCCGGCTGACAGTGAAATCATGCCAGGGGGGAACGTCAACATCACCTGCGTGGCAGTTGGCTCTCCCATGCCCTACGTGAAGTGGATGCTTGGAGCAGAAGACCTGACGCCCGAGGACGACATGCCCATTGGTCGCAACGTCCTGGAGCTCACTGATGTACGCCAGTCCAACAACTACACCTGTGTGGCCATGTCCACGCTTGGGGTGATCGAGGCTATGGCACAAATTATTGTAAAAGGTGAGTTCTGCAGATAAAGCAGGAGCGAGAAGTAATTATGAAACTCTGATTCTGTTTACAAAGCTTTAATTGTTTGAAAGTGCAAAACATAAAAAAAATACCTTTTATCTGCACATTTTAAGTGCTTCTGTGGGGCTATAAAGTAATAACAAGGAAATAAAGTATTTTATTTTAGCAACCACGTTAGAGCTCTGCAAGAAAGTAGATTATCTAAATAATTAACAATGTACAGCATATTGCAGGATTTGCAGTTTCTAATTTGGAGGCAATTAAACAATGTGCGTTTTTCAAAATGATTTATACAGCATGAGATAAGCTTCTGAACCATGCCTTTAGCCCAGTGGTCAGATTATTTTTTTTTCACAGTGCTCTTTTATGTTTTTTAATTACTTTGCAAAGATTACAGTCATTTAACTATGGTGATGCTGCATGTTTCTCAGTATTGACTGTTTGCATTTAAATGTTTTCTGCAAGTTTTGAATGGAAGGCTTATGGATAAGATTCTATTGTCTTGCAATCTTTTCAGCCCTGCCGAAGGCTCCTGGTGTCCCTGTGGTGACAGAGAGAACTGCAACGAGCATTACTCTCACCTGGGATTCGGGAAACCCAGAACCAGTCTCATACTATGTCATACAGGTGTGCAGCAAATACTCAAGCAAAAAAGTGAAATTTAAATAGAAACATTTTCTCAGTAGCCCATGAGATTAAAATGAAAGTTTTTTGTTTTCATTTTTATCTGAAGAGTTTTGCTACTGCTGCATAAACAAAGTGATATCTTTATGCATCCGTCACTGAAGTGTCAGTAATTTACGATGAAGCACTTCCACAAAACAGCCTTTGCACACATTCCAGAGTCCCAGAACTTCAGATGTCTAAACCAATTGGTTTTTATACGAACATAAACCGTTATTAACAGATCATTAAGCAGGGCTATAAAACAAAAGAGCCTCTAGCTGGTGATAAACTTTTAAATTCTCAATTTACTCAAATGGGATCCGCTGTCATGGGGCTGCTCTCTTCCCAGAAGCAGCAGCGAAATTAAATGTAGGAATAAGAAATAGCTCCAACTGAAGACTGTTTACAAAAAGTATGACAGTCAGCCACACTTGGCATTTCACATCTCACTTAAAGATATGTTGACTGAGAGTAAATTCAATTAGTCATCAAACAATATAATTTCTACACATTATTAAACATGGGCAGATTAATTGCTTAACTCCTCTTTCTCCTTTCAATGTCTTCTACCTTCTCCAGCATCGCGCCAAAGGTTCAGAAGATCCTTACAAAGAGATAGATGGCATTGCCACAACACGCTACAGTGTTGGAGGCCTCAGTCCATACTCCCACTACGACTTCCGGGTGGCAGCTGTCAACACCATCGGCCAGGGCCCGTCCAGTGAGGCAGTGGAGGCTCGCACAGCGGAGCAGGCCCCCTCATCGCCTCCTCGACAGGTAGGAGGAAACCTTAAAGGGATACCCTTCATTTTTAAAGCAAAGGTGGTAACAGCCTAATAGCTAACATGCAATGATGTCTCTTTTGGCATCTTAAAGGCATAGTGAAGGATTTTTGTTAAATTTTGAAGAGACCCACCCTCTCCACTTTAAAAAAAATTGCCTTTGCCCACCCTTGCCCCGCTTCTGAGAGGGAACACCTATTAAACGTGTGCTAGGGCATACACAAGCCCATTTTTCCTCGTGCATAGTCTGTTTAAAAGTTGCTGTTTGCATTCCTCATACAAGCTTACTTTTCAAAAGAAGATTTGCAATTTTTCCACTATGTCAGACTCACCTCCGGTAAGTGAAAATTGGGACGAGCACGTAGGACGGCCTTACATATCACCAGAATGATTGACAATTAGGAGGACCACTTATTTAGGTGATCCACTTGGAAAAAGAACATTGTCCTCTATACCTTTAATGTTTCTTAAAAGAGAATAATTTCTGTTTTATGCATTTTTGTTCATCTGTAATGAGTTTTACATTAGATAAATACATTTATTTAACTTTAATTTGAGCTACACAAACACATCTCGGTGTGCTGCAGTTCAAAGTGTTTCTGCGTTACCCAGGTAACCCCAGCTTAAAAAAATGGCCAGGTATTCTCAGGATTTTGTAGAAGAAAGTAACCTATTCTGGTCTGGAAGCAGCAGAGGTGGGAGATGTGGAGTAAACACAGTTGAATTAACTGGGCTGGTTGGATTAACCTATGCAAATATATTGCATAGAGATGGCATAAAGCAGTCTCAGGCTGTCACACTTCTACCACCATGTTTTATTGTTTGTTTGAGTTGTTTGACATGAATTGAGTTTTAGCACAGATGTAAGGCTGTGGGGGTAGTGGTGGCCTAGTGGTTAGGGCAAAGGGCTTGAAACCCTGAGGCTTTGCCCCACAAAGTGGATGGGTTAAATGCCGAGAGTTAATTTCTCCATTGTGAGATCAATAAAGTTAATTTTATTTATTTATGTAAGTTCTACCAAGAAAAAGTTCTACCAAAAGGACAAGATCCCAAAGAATCTAAGCAGACATTTTGAGAATCAACTTTGTTTTTGTTTTTTGACAAATATGAGACATGTCTTTTTTTGTTCTTATTGCTCAGCAGGGATCTTCACCTTGGGAAGCCCTAATGGATGGCATTTCTGTCCTGTCTCTTTCTTAGAGATAAACCATAACCTCTATCTTTAACTCATACAAGTGATGCCAGCAGTGCCTTGGAAGTTGGTCTGGGTTCTTTTGCCCCTCCTGTTTACGTCTTGAATCTGTTCCAGGAGTTATGTTGACAGGCTGGCTACTCTGGGATTTGTGAATAATGGTTTTCACTTTGTTGCACTGAAGTCTAGAAACATTAGAAATAGCCTTGTAACTCTGTGTAGACTGACTGATGGTTATAACCTTTTTTTTTTTTATCTGGTATTTATTTTTTTTTTAGATCACAGCAGTGTTTCTGTCGTTCTTAAGATCTTTTAGCCTATTAAACATTCTCATACTGGTTCTGAATAAGTGATTATTAGATCTGGCATTACCAGGCTTCAGTTTGGATATTTGAAACAGAATTCAGCTAATCAAAAAATGGGATTAATCAAAGCTATATTATAACTTTTCTAACACTGAAAGCAGTTTGATGATTTGAAAGTTTTTATTGTGTAAAAATGAAAAAAATAAAAGGTAGAATAAAACTACAACACTGAAAATAAAGTTTCCACAGCCCTTTCACAGGCCTTTTCGACTGCAAAGGAGATGGATTGACTTTGAGCTTAAGCCGGAGCTTAAAGCAATGCTTTGCAGGAAGCGGGTTAGTTTTAGATACAAGGAACCAGTCACGTCACTGCATCAACGTGTGCATCAGAAAATGATTTGAGATGGAAGTATGCCGGAAATAAAAGGAGAAGACGAAGAAGATGATTGCAAAACAAACAACGCAACGAAGATGGACGAAGTTCTAGCAGCACAGATGCTAATCCTTGCTGAACAAAGATTTACAATTATACAGCATCAAAAATTGTCACTTGATAATAACAATTCAGCATCTGTCAGTGTCGTTTCATGCACTTGCAGAGTGGTTCTCCTCATGTGCATGTTGTAGTAAACTCCACCCCTCCCACCCCTAATGTACTTGGTGCTACGGAGGCTCTCGCTTGCCCCAACAAAAAGGTGATGCAGGAGCTTTCAACGATCGAAACACAATAATCCAGATCTTTGTTAGCTCCATTGCCAAGATAGTTCAATCACCAGTCCAGTGGAAAAGGCCCCGCAGTCCCTTAGAGCCTTTAATAGCTTTGAATCCATACTCCCTCCGGTCTAACAATGTTTCAGAAACTTTTAAACAATCACATCACTTTGATTGGGTAGTTACAATTGAGTTTATTTTGTTTTCAAAGGGAGTTACGGGGGAGTTAAGATGTTTTCGCACTCAAAGTAAACCCTGTTTTTAAGTGATTTTCAAACTGCCTTTCTGCTTACATTTACTCTACCTGGAAAACATTTACAGGTTTTGTCCTCAGAAATATTTGGTTTCTATGATAATATTTGAAATGCAAACATGATAAAGACCCTTAGAATAAACCACTTTGATGATTTTAAGGAGGTTTAAGGATAATATAGGTCTCTTTCATCGTGGCCCCTTTCAGAGCATACAGAAATAGGTTGTGCAAACTGTTTGCTTTGGTTCGTTGCACCAAAATATTAAATAAAATCAGTTGCTCAGATGAAGCTGTCTTCCTGCAGGTCATAGGTCGGATGCTGAGCGCTACAACAGCAATGATTCATTGGGACGAGCCAGAGGAACCAAACGGTCAAGTGGTTGGTTACAGGGTTTACTACACCTCAGATAACACGCTGCCAGTCAACCAGGTGTGTGGGTCTGTCTGCCTGGTTTCCTTCCATTTTGGGTTTCTTGTACTTGATGAGCTGCGTGAAAAATAAGCATGCATATGTTACATTTATATATGCAGTGGGAGAAGCAGATGGTCCGAGGCACCAATTTCATCACCATCCAGGATCTGACTCCCAACAAGACTTATTACATCCGGGTGCTGGCTTTTACCTCTGTGGGAGACGGACCTTTGTCCCAGGATCTGCAGATTATAGCCAAGACTGGAGGTAAATTTTGATAAATAATAAAAAGATTCAGAGTTAGAAATACTTTGAAAACAAGAGCCTTTAAAATCCAAGAAAAGACATTACAGAGTACAGTAGTCACGTTTTTCCAATATTTATTGTTGCTATTTTTTTTTTAGTTCCATCCCAGCCATTAGATTTCAAGGGAGAGGCCAAGTCTGAGACCAGTATCCTGTTGTCCTGGGTGGCCCCCTCAACCCAGGGTGGCCCAGACAGCCAAATCACAGGATACGAACTGGTCTATCGAAGGGCCGACGACACAGAGGAGGTAGGAACGGAGAAAAAGGACAGATTTCTTGCAGAAAAGGTGTTTACTCAGTGGTCTGATGGATGATGGCAAACAAAACAGTGGCTGTTTGAGTGGATGGAATACAGAGCAGAAAGAAGATGACCTGACCTGTATGTTAAGAGTTTCCTCTTATGTGTATTTGCCTCTTCAGAGGAAAGTGAGCTTTGAACCATCCACCTCCTACCTGCTGAAGAACCTCAAACCCTTCTCCACCTACACCTTCCAGCTGGCCGCTAAGAGCAAAAATGGGATCGGAGCGTACACCAATGAAGTGTCCATTGACACTCCACAGACACGTAGGTCCATCTGCAGCTGCTGCAGGATGTGAAAGCTTGTGGCTATGTTTGAGAGATTGGATTTGAGAGGAAGAGGAAAACCTATTTTAGTTTTGACAATGCAAAAGAGTCCTTTAAAAAAAACTCGACACAGCCTTAAAAAAAGTATTAAAACTGTTTGGACTTTTTCTGTCACATTAAATCCAAAAACTCCACTGTATTTTAGAGAGATGTTATGTTCCCTGAGTGAGTTTATATTTTATAAAAACATGTTTCACTGCATTTTCAGCTGCACGTCTTTGTGGTGTCTCTCTACGTATTTTGCACATTCATAAACTGAACCTTTGGCCTTTTTTTCTCGGCCAAAAACCTTTAAACTCAGTTCCAATTATATTTATTCATGTACTTTTACTAGCCCACTCTTGATTAAAAGTGTGAAAACTTTGACTTAAGTACACAATTAGCTAATAACTTAAACACAAAGCTGGCTATATGCATTTTCCAATAAAAAAAACACACCACTATCAATTCAATTTAATTCAGTTTATTTATATACTGTAGCGCCAATTCACAACAGTTGTAATCTCAAGGGAATTTACAGTTCAACCAGATCATACAGTCAAATTGAATCAAAGTTTTATATCTAAGGAGAACCAGTTGATTGCATCAACTCATTGACTCTCTTCAATCCCTCACACTAAGCATGCTTGTAGTGACAGTGGAGAGGAAAAAACTCCCTTTTAAAAGGGAGAAACCTCCAGCAGAACCAGGCGGCCATCGGCTGAGGCTGACTGGGGTTCAAGGAGACAGAAGCAGAGATAGAGAAAGCAGCTGTAAAAGGCGGCTCGGACCAGGAAACACACAGTCAGGCAGACGAGCTCCGAGCCAAAATACAAAAGACACTAAATGTCTTTTGTATTTTTTTTCAGAAATCCTCATCTATAAATGTTCAATTTATTTAAACTGATACCAAGCAGCTTCCAAGCAGGTGTTCCTCTTATCTCTAGTGTGTTTTCTTTTCTTTTTTTGGCCTTTGAAGCAGCACTTGAGTGAAAATTTTAAAGCACTCTTCTCAAAAGCACAGGGGAACAGTATTTCCCATATGAATATGCTTTAATCAATGGTCTGCAATGCCATTGCTTCAGCATTAATCTTCCTTATTTTCTACATATGATGCAGCTCCAACACTGCTGATCTTCTTTAACATGTAAACAAGTACTATGGAAACACCATAAGGCAAATTATTCAATGAGTTATGGGTTTTGAAACAGGTGGTTCAATAAACAGCAGAATTTCCCTTTCACTTTATCATTATGCGCTACCTTGTGTTGGCCTATTACATGAAATGCCAATAATATACTTTAAAGCTTGGATTTGTAATGTGACAAAATGTGTTTAAAAGAGTTCAAAGAGTGTTGATACTTTTGTTTGACTGTTTACCTCTAAGAAAAAGCCAAACAACATGAGTTCTTTGTTGCCTTGTCAAAATGGGGCCATGAGGAATCCAGATTTCTAACTGACTTCATGATTGATGCTTAAATCTGTGAAGCAATATTGGCATCTAAACATAACCTCCTACAAGACAATCACTTGAAATAAGACTTTAAGAGTTTGCATTAAAGATTTATTTGGTGGGTATCAATCTGAGGTCTGTTAGAATCAGTCAACTAAAGGTAAGGGAGCAGAGATTCTCAGGTAGTCATGAGGATTCCAGCATGGATCACTGAGCCTTCACTAGGCTGATAACAACAAGTAAGTTGTAGCAGTTTTCTGTTTTATGTATGAAACCTCTAGTCAGTGTCTTTGTGTTACATTTCTTTCAAGTCACCCACTTGTTTTCATTAATCAAACATTTCTGCAGATCTGACACCCTTCATTGGATATCTTTGTTCAGTTATGTTTGCTTTGTAGTCACAGTCATTTTTTTTTCACACACAAGAGCTTTAGTTCTCCAGTGTTTTGTTTTCATTTTATGTTTCTTTGTCTTTTTTTTTTGTTCTCTTGTTTTTCATCTGCTCAATTTCATCATCATTCTTTCATGGCAAACACCCGACTTCACTCGACACACAACAACTTGCACACACGACCCAATGACATTTACTCAACCACAACCTTCCTGGCCTACCAGTTCCCTCAGCACCTCCCCAGGACATCACGTGCACCAGTCCCAGTTCTACCAGCATTCTGGTAAGTTGGGCTCCACCACCCCTGGAGTTTCAGAACGGCATCATAACCGGATACTCCATCCAGTACTCTACGATGGAGGGCAACAAAACATCCCAAAGAGTTGATGGGATTCCTCCGGGAAGTTCACCGTATCTCCTGGAAAACCTTGACAAATGGACTGAGTATGGCATAACCGTTCGGGCTCTCACGGAGGTTGGGGAAGGACCAGAAAGTTTACAGCTGCTTATCCGCACCGAGGAGGATGGTATGTTCCCCAGAAAATACAAATATAATCCCATCCCCGCCTTATGATTCTCCGCCCAACTAACAATGATCACGGACTAATACTTTATAATGATCACCCTAAACTAACAACAAACAGTCGGTCATGGTGTTTTGTTTTCCTGTGAACTGCAGCATTAGTAAATATTGCATTTCAGAATACTTTTAAATCTCCCCATTTTAGCAATCTTTGCTTTCAATTCACTGTATAACTTGCCCCAATAACCCAAAAAGCAGCAATCGCTTCCATAAATTCTCTTTCTAACTGCCCCTTATTTCCTTAACTGGCATCTTTTATCCTACCTGTACTTTTTCCCATCTCCTGAAAGCCAACAATTCTTTAGATTTCCTTTTTTAATGATAAATTTCATAAACAAAGCAACTTCCCTTAGCCCCTACTATTATTTCTAACAGAGAATTACTTGCTGGCAAAATCGCCTTAATTTGTTTTGGGTTTTTTTCAAATTATAGTAATTCATGTATACTTTGTTTGTTTGATGGCTTGTATATTTAGCTCTCTAGAGCATTCCTTTTTTTTTCTTTAACTATCACTTCGTGTTGTTTTTATTTCTCTTTGTGTCATAAAAGCACTTTTTTTTATAAAGTCCACCATTTTTAAGAGTGCTTTTACTGGAGTCAGTCAGTTAACAGAAGGCGACTGGAGGTTTCTATTTTTTCTGTCCTTTTTTTCTTTCTAGGTAGAAGTGCAGTTCTTGGCAGCACTTTTTTTGATAACTATGTTTTCTCTTTGAATGACTACCACGTTTGATCTGCCCCCTAGCAACAAATACTTCGCTTTCTGCCATTCCTACCTCTCTCTACATTTGCCTCCTGTACTTCACTGCTTTTTTCCTCCATGATTTTTTGCGAGCACCCTCATTTTTACCTATCTTGGCTTTTTACCAGGCATCAAAGCACTTTAAGACTTTTTGAAGGGTTGTGAGGGTTTTTTCCCACTTTTGGGTGTTTTTTTTTTTTTATCTGCCCCCTTATTTTTAACAGGAGTAAATTGACAGCTTTTACTTTTAAGTGCCTATCAACTGTGACCCTTGACCTCTATTCCAAAATGCATTTGTAGTTCCAAGTGGTCCTCCACAAGAGGTTGAAGCAGAGACAGTGAATGCCTCGGCCATTAGGGTGAAATGGCGAGCTCCAGCGTCAGAACTTCAGCACGGACAGATCCGTGGCTACCAAGTCCACTATGTTCACACAAACTATGGCGAACCACAAGGTCAACCCCTCATCAAAGACATCCTCATCGATGACTCACAGGTAAAACTGGCCAAAATAACGAATTACTTACATATTAACGTGTCACAGGTAGTTTATGAGAAATTTAAAAAGGAAAATTATTTAACTCAGGTAGTAATCATGAATTGCAGCTCTAGACTCAACAATACATACTGTAGTGTAAATTATTGCAGAAACATTTCTCTAAATGTCAGAGATACCATTTGTTGTGTTTGATTTTGAATCAGAAAGATTGTTCTAAGCTGTGTATTTTCTTCCCCTCTACGCTGCTTCATTGTTCAGTGGGAATATGGCAAATCAGGGGAATATGTGAGTAAACCTCTTGTCAGGCATTTCATTTATTAACATGAACAACAAAGTATTATGAGTGATTTAAAAGGAGCTTTTCACTATTTTGACACATTTTTTGTATATATTATCTTGCCTTGAAAAATACATCCTGTATAAGGATGAAATTATATAGTTTAGTTTAATTTTAATAAATAAAATATGCAAATATTAAATTTGCTAAAGTAAATACAAGCAGCAGAATTATTGTATTGTATATGTAGCAAGGGGTAAAAGTATTGTATATGTAGTAAAGTAAAAATATTGTATATGTAGCAAGGGGACAAAAAAATTACCTTTTTTTTTTTATTTGTCTTCTTCTAAATGCTTAGATCTTAAGGCTTAAAGTAAAGTAGAGCACCTTTAGCACTGCCAAAGTTGTTTTACTCTTGTAGCTGACAGAACCGTTGGTTGTTTTTTAGGAGATCGTGCTTGGAGACCTAAAAGCAGACACAGCCTACTCTGTGTCAGTGGGAGCTTACACTGCAAAGGGTGACGGTGCTCGTAGCAAAGCTGTTACTGCCTGCACCGCACTGCCTTGTAAGTGTGCCTTCGCAAACAGACTCTGATAAAAAAGGCTCATTTATTCGCAGTCATGTTTAGTTTCACTAATTATCATTAGAGGCTATTAATTCCCCAAATTGGTCATACCTGATAATGTATCACCTAGCTTTGGCATAAAGAAATTAGTCATTTAGTGGCACATTATGTGTGTTGAAGAGTTTTGCTTCAGATAATGAATAATGTGCTTTGTAATTACCCTCTAATCATCTTTTCATCATCCTCTCCCTCCTGCCCTTCCTGTCTTCCCTTTATGTAGTTCCTGAGAAACCGAAACTGCTGGTCAGTGCAACTGAATTAGGTACTGCTCTTCTGCAGTGGTACCCCCCTCCGAACCCACCAACCCCTTTGCTAGGGTACCGACTCACCTTTGGCCGGGTCGACATCCTTCCCTTTACTGTGGTGGAGTTTCCCACGACAGAAACACGTTACACTGCTCTGGATATTCATAAAGGAGCTAACTATGTTTTCAGACTCTCTGCCAGAAACAAAATGGGCTATGGAGAGGAGACCATGAAGGAGGTGACCACTCCAGAAGATACCCCAACTGGATACCCAGAAAATATCATTCTAGAGGAGGCTTCTGCCACCTCTCTCATGCTAACATGGAAATCAGTCCCACTAATAGAGCAAAACGGAAAAATTACCAAGTACTCGGTGCTGTACAAGGACATAAACAGTCGGGGGAACGCTACGGAGGTGGTGGTGCCCGCTCCAGGGTCAAGTGTTTTACTGGAGGGTCTGAGTGCCGATACCGTGTATGATGTCAGGGTGGGTGCATTCACAGCTGTCGGTCCTGGGCCGTACTGCCCCAGTGTCCAGTTCAGGACGCAGCGGCTTGACCAAGGTAGGGCTACGCTCACTCCCTCAGAACCCAAAATCATTACTCTTTTCCAGGGGCCAGATCCAAACACCACATTTAATAGTTGGCAAATTCACCCAAGCACACGGCCACAGACACTCAACATTTAGTGACTGCATTTTAAGTGTCCTTTTTCATTGTCTTGTCCATGTAGTCTTAGACCCAACAGCCTATTCCAAAATCAAGGTAAGAGTCTTGGGTCTGGGGCAAAGTTCCTGTCCAGTTATGTTGTTTGTTGCTCAGATCAAATAGCTAGCCTGAGTCTTCTAAATAATTAAACACAGGTAAGACCAAGTATGTTTTTTTTTTTGCAGGAATAAATTACACTCTAGAAAACACTTTCTCTTTTTTCTGCTTTTCTCTGTCCTTTGCTACAGTTTTTGCCACCAACTTCAGAGTAAAAGCAGCCATGAAGAACTCTGTTCTGCTCTCTTGGGAGATCCGGGACAAGAACCCTTCCTTGCCATTTACTGTAAGACATTTTCACTGTGTTGAGTTATAAATAAAGGAGGACCCAGAGTTAACAATAAAATGTTAATACTGGAAACTAAATAAGGAGCAAATAATGACTTGTGCAGAGTCCAAAGCAGCTATAGCAGAAATCACTAAGGATCTTGCAAAAGGAAGGTAAGAGAACTGTAGGATCTCACAATGATTGACTGAATCGGGAGGATATTAATACTCAACAGTGAGTATTAAGATGAGACAAAGGAGAAACTAATTACTGGGGTGGAAACGGCTAAGGCTAAACTCAAAAACAAATGACAAAACTAATAGAAATAAATAGAAATGTGAATACCAAGCTAGAGACAATAAGAAACATTAAATGGAACACAAAGCTGAGAAAGGAGGCAAGTTACGAAACTTCCCTCATATAATTGTGTTTTTTTTAACCTTGTCATATATATATATATATATATATATATATATATATATATATATATATATATATATATATATATATATATATAAAGGGACAGTCCCCATCACATAGCACATGAGGCCACACAAACTGATTATGTATGCAATGCCTGATAATATGAAATTATTCATCTATTAATTAAAAAATATATAATGAAATGTATTTTTTTTATTGTATCAATTATGAGATAGCCATTAACACAAAGATAGCTGCCTAATGGCTTGTTTTTTATTGCATTTACAATCCCCTCTGCATCTCACCTGGAGAAGCATTAAATCTTTTTTAGTGACATCTATTGAGAGGACCAATGAGACAAAGTAATGCAAAATTCCACACATAAGGGAAATAGGATATGGGCCTAAATAAGAACGATTGCTTTAATAAATTCTGGTCTCCCCAACATCAGCAATCATATTACAACCATAACCATACCATATATATATATATTTTTTTTTTGCTTATGTTGTATTAAACAATATGTCCTCCTTCAGTTGTGTGTCCCATGTACCAGACATGGAAACATCACACTGACATCTGATGTAAATCCTATTTTAGGGAACAATAACCACTAAGAAATGTTGATCATTAAAGCAAGCACTTCTTCTGAAGTTAATCATAGGTTTGGTATGTAAATAAACCATATTATATATCATCTTTAAGCTTTAGTTTAGGTAAATTTAGGAGATTTACTTGCATGCAGATAAAAAAATAAAAATAAGGGAAGTGAATGTTGAACATTGAGGTACTCTAGATTCAACCATCTAAAAATTGTTTGTGGTTCATACAAACCCACATATTCCTACTATTCACAATGATGTTATCCATTTATTGTGGGTTTGTAGCAATGAAGACATCGCTTTGGCTATATAAACTAGGTAGTCATCTAAATTTAAAGGTTGCCTGCTATAAAAATATGGCCCTAAAAGATATTTTATACATATTAATTTAAATATATATATCATCAAGGCGTGTAAATGTGCCTCCAGCATTAGTTAGTGCATTAGCAATAGTTTAACAAAATATTTTGTGTTCTGACTATTGGACTCTTTAAATGTGTGTTACATAAACCATAGAAAATAACATCAGAAATTCAAGAAAAAAATGAAAGGAATGGTAAAGCACTACAGTGGATGCCTTTTGGATCCTTTTAATGCAGGAGATTTGTTACAATTCAACTTATTTTTCAATTATCAGCATCCACGCCCCTATTCCTAATTAAAGCATTGTGCTTTTGAACAGCCAAAAGCTAACTTACCACAATGACTTGAGGTTTTGGAGATTCTGTGTAGATAGCTGTTTGGAAATAACTAATTTTGAGTCTAGTAAATAATGCATGTTGTGAATTATGTTGTCAGATCCTGTATGGAAAAGGCCGCTCTGTGGAAGTAGATGGCAGACAGACTCAGAAGCTTATAACTGGCTTGGATCCGGACACCCAGTACTCTTTTCTGCTGACGAACCGGGCCAACAGTGCTGGTGGCCTGCAGCACCACGTCACTGCCACAACTGCACCAGACATCTTGAAAAGCAAACCCCTTATTGTGGGAAAGACCAATGCAGATGGAATGGTGACCGTGCAGCTGCCAACTGTGCAGACGACAGCAAAAGTCAGGTAGTGATGAGTCATGGAATGCAAAACAACAAAAAAAGAAAAACTTTAGTGGTTTTGGAATTGTTAGAATTTTTTTCTTGTCAGGTAAACTTTATAATATTCTATATGTTGTGTTATATGATTCTTCTCATTCCTGTTGTTTTTGTTTGGTCTTTTGCCCCATAAGGAAAGATTTCAAACATTTGGCAGCGAAGCATGTCTGAAAACGCCCACAAATTAGAGCTCAGGGCTGATGCTTTTGTCTGTGTTTTCTAACCATAAAAACAAATATAGATAGCAAATGAAAGCCTATCCAAAGCAGTGAATGACTCACTTGGCTGCTAACAGTTTCCCTCTTTGCAATGGTCATGTAGTCGGTCTCTTGAAAAGTGTTTTGACTTTACTCCCTTGATATCTCACTGCTACTATTTGGAAAAAAGAAAATTACAATCAAGTAGAAAATGGATCATTCAGCCAGCATTATATAATTAAATAAATGCACCAGTCATAGAGTTTTTTTTACCCATTTCAATTTATTTAAAAAATATACATATTTGTCACTTATTTTTTATAGCAAACGTTAATAGTTAGAGACCGCCACCATTTTAACATCCAACATTCTTTATGATAGACCTCTATAAGTGGATGAAACAGCAACTTTGCTGTGATAAAGTCAGCTTTCTGCCATCTGGTCCTCCTCAATGTGGTAGTTAATTGTAAAATTCTAAAAAGCTTCTTATGTCTCTGTACCTTATGTGAATTTACTGCTTAACGCCTCACTGATGCTGTATTTAGCCAACTGTGGGTCTTTTTCCAACCATAACCTTCTGGCTGTGGTGCAATTGCAGATATAAAAACAAGACTGGGAGGTTTTTATTACTTGCAAGATAATCCCTGATTGGGTTCGGTCAGGTTTAATATGTGACCCACTTTCTGATGTCTTGGTGTCAATTTCGATTTGTTTACTCCTATTTTTAAAGTAAGTTGTCTGTGTATTTGATGTGTTGCTGAAGTTGGGTAAGGGAGGCTGAGTGCATACTTTGATTGTCACTTTAATGTTTGCAAATCAGTTAAATTCTGGTGTGTTTCAGGGGTTACTATGTGGTGGTGGTGCCGTTGAAGAAACAGAGAGGAGGAAAGTTTCTAAATCCCTGGGAAGATCCTGATCAGATGAATCTGGATGAGGTAAGGCTACCAACACATAAGAGGAGAGGGGTTCAATGTTTATTATGATGCATATCTTTTTTTTTAAGAAACAGGAAGAAGCTGTTTAGTGACAGCAGTGATGATTATAAGAAAAAAGGGACATCTGTACAACATGGAGGCTTAGTGTAAAGTGAATGCCTGCACAGCCGATTGAAAGTAGAAAAGGTTATCCGTACCTCGTTCAATCCAAACAATGACTTCACATACCATTTCCCATCTAATTCCCCTTCCGGATAGTTCTAAAGACCTTATCACCTCATTATACTATTCTGAAAGCACATTCATGTGTGTTAGATTAGTTCTAAAGCCTCTTTATGCTGCACTGCCCAATGTACTAGCGGATTAATGTGACAGCACCTCAGTTGATGAAGACAAATATGCCGGGGGAATAACACTTTCAGCAGCCTATTGTTTCTTCACTGATGGTTTTTTTAATGTTGGCTAAATTATCAGAACTTCCTTTCTTTACAGAGCTGTTGTTAAGGATAAAAAAAAACTATGCCAGCTGCACTTTTGGAGACTGTAATTACTGGGCCTTTTAAAAGTATTCATACTCCATGAACTCTTCCACCTTTTTGTTCATGTGGCCACAAAAATGTGTGTGTTTGTTTGGGATATTAGCTGAATGAACAGGTACAATGGTTTAAAGTGCAATAAAGAGGATACATGCTTTAAATGTAGTTTTAAAAATCATAAAATGTCCCACTTTACTTTGATACCACTTTATAAATTCAAGGTTTACCAATTCCTCTCAGGAGGAACCTGATTAGTAAATAAGGTACATTTATGTGTTTGATTATATCTCACTATAGGTGCAGTAGTTCAGTGAAAAACTCAGAGGCTTGTTTAAGACCATTAGTGAAAAAACAGCATCACGAGGAACACAGCAGGCAGGTTAAGGGAGAAAGTTCTCTCAAAAGCAGGGAGAATTGAGTTCAACAGAGCTGCAAACCTACCATGTCAGGGGCCTGCATCCTTTCTATTGCAAAGAGCCATTTTACTCTGAGGCCGGCCAAGTAAAAGTTGTTCAAAGTTGTTTTTAAATATCCACTTTACTAAATCTGTTCCCATTTTAAACAGCAGTTAATTTGGTTTTTGATTTTTGATATTAGAACAAAACATGACATTTTCATAAAGAAGAAGCATTGATTTTATTAAAAAAATAAACGGGTTGAAAGCTAATGACAAGAAATAAAGATCTCAAAACATATTCCTGGGCTGGTTCTTTAATGTGATTCTCTAGTAAGAAATTAAACAACTTAGGTGTTCTTTTCTTGTAAGAATGCTATTTGTTAGTATACTATATTCAAAACCATTATTTGACTCGTTATCATATTAAGACTTATTGTAGAGAGTCCAAAGAGCCGCAGGTTGCAGACCCCTCTATCAAGACAAAAAATATAAAATAAATAAAAAGGCAAGGAGATTTATCAGGGAAGCAATATAGAGGCTCATACTAATTCTAACAGAGCTGCTAAGATTTATATCCAAACCACCAGCTGATGTTGTTGCAGCAAAATGTAATTACAGTATTGACTAAGGAAGCTGAATAGGAATACACCCCAAATGTTCTGCCATTTTTTTTAGAAAAGACTTGGGGACTATTGATTATCTTCCATCATCTTTAGAATAAAGGGAAAAATTGTGTTTTCCCAATGATGGCGTTGATGTTTAAACGAGAAATTATTCACCAGTTTAAAAAGAGATCAAATAATTTTTTTTTTTCAATACGTCAGCAAAGAGAGTAATAAAAACCTGAGCTTTTTTTTTGGGGGGTGCAGCATATAAAGTAAGCTGATATGGGTGTTTTTGAGGACAGAGCCGTAGAACAGAATTGTTATTTGAATTATTTACTTCTACCGACCCAATGTTATATGTGTTTTTATTGGTTTTATTTATTTGTCCAATGGATGTATGTAGGTTTTTTAATAATATCTGAATCAATTGAAACTGATAACATATTGATAATTGCAATGACGAATAATATACAGAGTTAAAAGAAATATGAAAAAGCTTAATCTGAATACCTTAGTAAGGTACTGAAAAGACAATTACACCCATATAATGCATGCAATTCTTACACAGCTCTTTTCAATCCAAGCCGTTTGGTATTTTTAACATCTTCTTTATTCTCCACCACTTTCCTTTCTTCTTTCTCTGATTATTTATCGTATCATCTTCTGCTCTCCTCCATTTCAGCTCCTCAGAGAGATCAACAGGACCAGTGTCAGCCGTTCCCTTCGAATCCGCAGACAGGCCAGCCAATCAGAGCCGAGGGCGTATATAACAGCTCACTTTAAGACCCTCCCCTTAGAGTTCACTTTAGGTGACAGTCGAACCTACGGCGACTTCCGCAACCGTCCTCTGAAGGGTGGACAGGAGTATGTCTTCTTTGTCCTTTCCCTCCTAGACCTCTCAGAAAATGTAGGTCAAGTCTCCCTCTCTCAAGCAGCAGTCATTTTTAGAGAAAAAATGTGCCGTCATGCCTAAACTTACAAATCTCTGCAGACGATGTTCTCAACCAGTCCCTATTCTGATCCGGTGACGGCATCGGACGTGGATCCCCAGCCGATGGTTGACGAGGAGGAGGGTCTGCTGTGGGTTGTAGGCCCCGTCCTTGCTGTCATCTTTATTGTCTGCATTGTCATCGCCATTCTTCTGTTTAAAAGGTAAAATTTTGGCGACAGAAGAAAACATGATGTATATTCATAATCGTCATCTTAAAAGAATAAAAGAAAAATAATCTAAACTAGTTTATCTCATAGGTTTTCATTCAGATTGTCTTATTGTTTGTCCCTATTATCTGCAAAATTACATCACAGCATTTGCTTACATAACAGATAGGGCAAGATAACATTATGAGCCTTTAGTGTTAATGATGATAATCATCACTCCTCTAGCTAGAGGTTTGTTAATGCACATAAATAATTGCTTTGACAGATGTGGCATTACAGAATTATTGACCTTGATGGCAACAATCTGATGTTGGTAAACCCTGGAGGGTTCCTCTTGGATATTTCTGACTTTTAATGTCTCATTTGGTGTTAAGTTGCACTTGAAGCCATGTTTCCTAGTATTTTATTAGATGTTACAGCTTCAGAGTGGTTTGTCATGCAGGGTATCCAGTGTATTGCAATGAAGTTTTCTTTTTTGAAAGTGCCATTGCTCTTTGTCTCCATAGGAAGTTATAGTTTGCATAATAAGTAACACTGCAGCGAGAAACTGATTAGTGTGTTAAAAAAAGAAAATGATGAGTTCAGCATTGCTACTTTCTCTAATGCTCTTTGATCGGACACTAATGATATTCCTTCTTGTCTGTCCTTTTATCTGCACCCACAACGCCCTCCAACCTCCTCTTTTTGAATCCAGCAAACCTGACAGGTAAACAAGTGCTGCTTATTTCCATTTCCAATAGCCTACAGGGGCATTCCCCTTTAAAAGAAAACTCTACAAGAAACGCCACAAATATTAAACTCAAGTAGCGTCAGGCTATGCTGATGTTATTTTACTCATTGAAATAATAATTTTGTTTAAGAATAGCAATTTAGTCAGTGCATTGTAAAGGTATAGCAGAAAACACTGTAAACCACTGTTTTCACTGAAGCTCTGTTGGGGAGAAACACGGGTTAGCGATCATGATAATCTGACGGAGGATGACTTCCATGTGAGTCATTGACCTGGTTCAACAGTATAGTCCATCCTAGAGAACGAGGTAGGATCCAGCCGGAGGGCTTCCTAGAAGACAAGCAGGAGTCCAAGCCACAACAGGGCAACAGATCAGAACAGGAAGGCTCAGAGGTTAAGAAGTCTGAATCCCGGTCAGGGATACTGATCAGAACAGAAGTCCAGAGACAGCTCAGGCAGAACGCTTAGACAGGAAAAGGCAGGTCTCAGTGGCTGAGAGGCAGAACAGGTCAGGATTAGGATCACAGAAACACTAAAGTACGCTAAAAAACCCTCTCTCCACTGAGATCAGACAGAAACAGGCACGCTGAGTGGATGAGAGGCAGACCAGGTTGGGATCAGGAAATCAGAAACGCTATGGTACGCTGAAAACTGCTATCTCCACTAAGATCAGAAAGGAAACAACGCACTCAATGGATGAGAGGCGGTTCAGGTCAGGGTCAGGAAGTCGGAGACACTATGGTACGCTAAAAACCCTCTCTCCACTGAGATCAGACAGAAACAGGCACGCTGAGTGGATGAGAGGCAGACCAGGTTGGGATCAGGAAATCAGAAACGCTATAGTACGCTGAAAACTGCTCTCTCCACTGAGATCAGAAAGGAAACAACACACTCAATGGATGAGAGGCGGTTCAGGTCAGGGTCAGGAAGTCGGAGACACTATGGTACGCTAAAAACCCTCTCTCCACTGGCCCCCAATAACGAGAACAAGATAATCTAGCCCTGATAGCTGGATGGAAGTTATGTTATCTACCAAATAGAGCAGAAGCATTTGGATCAAATGAGCCATAATAATCAACCGGGCAGAGTTAGGCAGGTGAATGGAATAAGCAATTAAGCCACCCATCAGCGCCAAGATCATGACAAAACCTTCATCCACTGTGTGTAAAGCTGTAAACTGTCTTTAAATAAATTTTGATAACATAAAAAGACTCATATATGTTGTCTTAGTGCAAGTAAAATAAAATGAAATACTTGAAATGATTTTCAGAGTGAATTTGTAGATGTAACCTCTTGAATCACTTTCTGTCTCGCCGATGTTAATATTCCTCTCTTTAACAGCTCAAACCAACCGATCAAAAAAAATAAATAAATAAACTAAATTAGGTAATGAGCTCATGTCAACCAATTACCACTTTGCAACTGTGGGAAGATGCTAACTTTAGTGTCATTAGTGGCTAACAGTTAGCTTGTCATGCTATTTGCAGTTCCTAGAAAATATGCCTGTTACCTGTTACAGTGTTTTTCTAATATTGCAATACTGCATGTCCACAATGTTGGACAGGTAGTAGGCAAATCGTTTTTTAGCTTTTCTAATCCAAAAATTTTTAGCCGGGCAGATGAGAGGGTTTGAGAAAAATCCTCTCTATATATTTTAAACTGACCTGAAAAGAAAACAAAGAAGGGCTGCCCATGGAAAAAGCACTTTCTACTGCAGTGAAACAGAGTTTTGCATATTAAAAACTAATTCTGGCAATTTGCAGGAAATAAAGCCTCTGGGAAAAGAGAAACCCTCAAGGAATTAGAGATTTAATTTGTTCAATGTGATAGCCTCATTTGGAGCCCAGCGATGGTCTGTCTGTGTGTCTATCTGGCCACTCATTGGCTATTTGGCTTTGGGGTCTTATTTCTGGCCTTGTGATGGAGCCGCAGCATAGCTGGAAACATCATGCAACATTAGTTAGTCAATATTTCAATTACGGTCATAAAATTTTATGTCTTCATGAAATTATAGCTGAAGGTTTTAGGATTATGTTTACTGCCTCTAAATCTTCATATAAAACCTGTTCAAACAACCCTGGTCAGTTCTGCAGGAGTTATAAACTGAAATGAGAAATCCCAAGCTAACAATATTCCTGTGCAGTGTATTGAGACCCTGGGAAAAAAATTCATTAAGGCATTGGTGCACAGATCCATATTTTTCTCAAAACTTAATTTAAAGCCAGATGTTTTAGCCACATGATATTGAGTCACATTTTGTTTGCTTTTCTAGGAAAAGAGCCGAGGCTGAAGGAAGGAAGGGCAGTTTTCCCTGCAGCAAAGCCATGTCCTCCCACCATCCCACAGATCCTGTTGAGCTGCGGAGGATCAACTTCCAGACTCCAGGTAGGTGGGAGACAAATGTACTGCTGTTGGGAACTTTACATACTCTGATCATGTGTTCAAATGACTTCTTGATTTTAAGTTGGGTGCACAAGTTGGAATTTGCTGTGGATTTTCTCCATTCTGTACAGATTTAATATTTTACATACAAGCTCAATTCACCCCACTTATATAAATATACATCTGCTTTGCGAAAAAGGCACACACTTTTGATAATGAACAAATTGATATCAAAAAACTATGTTTGATAATCAACAAATTTATGTTTATTATTATGTGGTATAATTTTGGTTAAATGTTCGACCATTATTCTTATCAGAAATGGTAGAACTCACATTTCCTTGCACAGCCGAGCTTTTAAGTATAAGCCTTGGAGTTTCTGAATTCTTTTTTAAAATATTTAATCAAAACAATTTTCAATTTAATAGGAATTTAAAAATGACACATTGTAGGCATAAAAAATATTTTTAGCAAAATAAATGCCTCACCTTTTTCCCTATAATACAGAAACATAGATGCTAGTTATATAAGTGTACAAATAAGTGCGAAATGGATAACCCTTATGCCCAATATTGAAGAGTGGTCTGCGCTATGTTATTCCACGCTACAATGCAAGAGGTATAATCACTAAATAGCTGTGGGTCTAGATACGGCCGAGGCAGCGAGGATGGGGGGGCAAGTTTGTGCAACAAGGGACACCACTGTCAAAACCTCAGCAAAATCTCATTGCCATAGCAACACACTAACCAGCCCTATCAGATCCGCTTACTTAAAAGGTAAATACGAGGCATGGTGGTAGCATGTATTTTGAGGTGAATTTCATTTTTTTTTTATTTGTCTAAAAAAAATAAATAAATAATATTTATTAAATGGGAAGAGGAGGAGAGGTAACAAGAACAGATGATGCTGAAACATGAGGATGTTTAATAGGATTGAAGCCGAGAAAGAAGAATTAAAAATGGAATAAATTGGCTTCCATAATAAAATATGAATAGTTAAACGACATACTGCATATGGATATTTTAGCCGATGTTAATAACATCTGTTGATAATCATTTTTCTTGGTTAGCATAAAATAAATCAAGGCCAGCAAAAATAGTTCCCTATCTTAAACATAATTGATTTAAGTCAGGTCAGATTCAAGTCAGATTTAAGTCCAGTCCTCAAGAGCTACCATCCTGTAACTTTTAGATGCATCTCTTCTCTAGCACACCTGAATCTAACCTCATTTAGCCCAACAGAGGCATGGTAACGAGCCACTCATTTGATTCAGGTGTGTTAAAAATGGTTGCATCAAAAAGTTGCAGGATAGTAGCTCTTGAGGAATGGACTTGAGCACCCCTGATTTAAGTAAATCAAACTTTCGTGATCAAATGTCTCTGTGAGGCCATGGCATATAAGAGAATTAAACAATTCGAACCTGTGTATTTCATACATTCTACGCGTTAGGAATTAAAACCGTCCAATGCGCAGCTTATTATTGCTTAATCCTTACATGTTTAACACAATTTGACAATATTTTAAGGTAGTCTAAGGTATTATCAACGAATTTGCATATAATCCAGAAATATTGAAATACAATTGCTAAAAAATATGCAAAGAATACCAATCTTTACTATTGATACCATCCCAGATTTGTTTCGTATCTGGATTCAGCATTTGAGTATCGATACTTTTAGGAGTAGCAATATTTTTAACAACTGCAGAACCTTCCTCATTGCTACAAAAGTACTTTTACCTTTGACCTTGTGTTTGATCATAACGATGATATGAGATTAAAGAGAAAATGTAGACTTTGGCAACCAGTGAAGTTGTTTGTTACAGTGCTGTATATTGTTATCCTAAAATAAGATAAATTGAAAGATGATTTGAAAAGCAGCCCCAAAAAATGTTGATGATGTGTAAAGTTCTCACCAGCACTGTACATGTGGACTAAACATGATATTTTGTTGGTATTTGATGTTGTGATGAGGTTAATTGTGATGTTTTTTCCCTTCTCAGCTTACCGTGTATCGGTGTACCGCGGTTATCGCCGCTTGTCAAGTCAGTTAGTCTCTCTGTCCCTCTCTCTCTCATTCCAATTAACCTTCCAACCCATACAGGATGAAGCAGCTCTAATTGACAACATTCATTGAATAACACCTGTTTAATGAATTTTTAACGGCTGGTTCTGTTTGCTGTTCTTATATCCTCACCAGCAGTGCTCATATGCTCCCAGTGCCCATTTTATTGCAGTAACATCAGTAACATTTTTATTTTCTCTCCAAATATCTGGAGAGAGAAAAACTCACCTAACAAAAGAATTAACCTCCATTTGCTTCTTGGGCTGAGTACTGAACATCATTACTTCAGGATCCACCGCTTTTAATTTTTTTCTTGTAAAAGAGTTTAGTTGTACAGTGTCGGTAACAAAAGAGCTTCTCTCTGTGCTCGGCAGGCATGGCAAGTCACCCGCCTGTCCCCATCTCTGAGCTGGCAGATCACATCGAGCGCCTCAAGGCAAATGACAATCTCAAGTTCTCTCAAGAGTATGAGGTAGGAATGCTGATTATCTCTAACTCGGGGAAACTCATCTGGTTTTTTTTGTTGAAGTCACTCATGTTTATCAGAAGCATGTCATTTTTCAATTTCAGTAACCTCGCCTTTTGATTAGCTGACTTGGAACGATACAAGATAAAGTCAACTTTCCTCCCTTCTACTGTTGTGTTGTTCTATACATGAGTATGAAATTTGAAATCTCAAACATAGTTTGCCTGAAGTCAAGATGGTTATCAAGCTCCCATTTCAATGCTCTGGTGTGGAAAGAGAAAAAACAAAATCAAGAAGCAGCTACAAAGAACTGAAAATGTTCTCTGAAATTTCTTGATTAGATTTCTCCAACTTTGGCAGAGTTAATTTGAAGCAGCGATGGCAAAATTGGACAGATCAGCAGAATAATTTCTAAACAAGCTGGCTGTGACACCAGTGAGAGTTTGCATTACAATGAGCTCCACAGAGAGCTGTTAAAGCAGTAATAGTGTTTAGTTTTGCCACAAAAGAAATATTTTCTGTCCACCAAAGGGCCTCCGGGTGAAGAAGGAGGCAAAAGGCCCTAATTGGCTACCACAAGAAAGAGACAGATTGTGTGTGACAGATGTATAAAACGTAAGTAGAAAGAAATAACCCAACTAAGGGTGTTTAACAGAAGGAAAAACGGAGACGGTGATGGAGAAGCTGTGTGTTTGACTGTGGTTGGCACTCACACTGCTCTGCTGGGCCTCACATTCTCTCTGCATGACTGTGTGCTTTGTTCGGTGCTGAACCCTCGGCGGACCGGCAAGAGGGACGGGTGGAAGAGCTGCCGAGGAACGGCAGGGAGGCCAGAAATGATTGCGGTGTGATAATCAGACACACTTGATGTTGGCACCGCGCGAAAAGCAGTCTTGAACTTGTGAATCCACATACATGCACTCAGCCAGCACCACTCCTGTCTATTTTTCCTCCGCAAAAACCATAATTATGTGTCGTAAAATATTCAAAATTGCTAAATTGCCTTGGCTCTCCACTCTTTGTGCCTCTCCATTGACAGACCCGTAATGACCTCATGTCTGCCTCTCCCAGCTAACAGCAACAGTTACACTGTAATTACCCTCCAGGAGCTTAATGGTCTGACAAAACCATCCTCTCTCTACCAGTGGGAATTTATTGTGCTTTTATCATCTTTCCTCGGTAGTGAGTGTCTCTGTTGAAAGTGGAAAGTCTCTCTCTTCAAAAAGGATATCATAAGTATCCATGTTCCTGCCTAGAGACGGTAATATTGAGCTCATCTTTAATTTGTAGCTAGATTCGACAGGGTTAGTACCTGGCTTCCACCTCAACACATCCTGACATTTTTTGCTAGTTGAAAATTGTTTTAAAATGTGCAATTTTAGTATTTTGGGGGCTGATCTGTGGTGCAGTCGGTTGCACTGCTGCCCTGCAGCAACTAGGTTCTGGGTTCAATTCCTGGTCTGGGTTTTTCTGCATGGAGTTTGAATGTTCTCCCTGAGCATGCATGGGTTCTCTCTGGGTACTCCGGCTTCCTCCCACAGTCCAAAACATGAATGCTAGGTTAATTGGCCTCTCTAAATTGTGTGCACAAATGGTTGTTTGTCCTGTTTGTCTCTGTGTTGCGCTGCGATGGACTGGCGACCTGTCCAGGGTGTACCCCACCTCTCGCCCATTGACAGCTGGAGATAGACACCAGCACCCCTCGTGACCCCACTTGGGATTAAGCGTGTTAAAAAAAGGGATGGATGGATGAAATGTGCAAATTGAAAAAACAGTATGGTGTATGAATATATGTATAATATATAATGAATATATCTGTCCCCCCTTCAAGAGTCTTTATTTAATGGTCCAGATCATCAAAAGTAATGTTAATTTCCAATAACCTTAGTATTGTAGCCATTGCAGGTTATTACCAGGGCTACCCCATGTCATGACCAAGCTACTTATGATGTTCTTAAAACAAAACAGTAAAGAATTTCAGCACAAAATATGATGGAAACTATGTTTGCAGTAAAGAAGACGCCGAAACAAACACTGTGAAACGGTTTATAACTTAATGAGGACAGTGATAGGTGACGCTATAGAAGTAAGTCGCACAGCACGTCTGGCTTCTCATTGTCCCTCAAAAGCATCCTACTGGTCCTACATAGAGATAAGGTCTCCCTAAGCACCAGTAATGTAATGGCGCCTTCACACCTAGTTCAGGGAAGTAATTAAACCAAGAGTTCAGCCTTAAACCTCTTGTTGTACACCGTGATGATGGAAAGCTGACTGATTGAGTTTGGCAGGAACCCTAATGCATTATAATGTCTCCAGACAACATTGTAAATTACAGTCAAAGTTTAAAGCAGGTGGGAGTTGGCTAGAACAAGTCGAAGTTTGCTATGTAGGTAAACAAAGATTTGATAAATCTGTGTTAGAGAAGAAGACAGGTGGAACAGCAAGGTAAAGTAGATGAGTTTGAGTACTTGGGGTCAATTGTCTGTGCTAAAGAGGTGAAGACAAGAGTGCAGACTGACTCGACTAAGTGGCAAATACTAATATTGAGGCAAAAGATGAGGTGGTTGTGAGGCTTTCGGTGATTTATGGTTTAAATTAATACTAATACAAAAAGCAAAGAGGGGTGGCAATGTTGAAATGTCCCAATAATAGGGACAAAAAAAAAGATAGATAGGATTTAAAGTTAATTAAACTGTCATTTAAAATGGCTAAAAACTTTGTAGAGGTGGGATAATTGATATATTTCACAAAGGAGGGTCTATAAGCTGCCAGGGTTGAAAAAAATACAAAGAAAAGATTAGGAAGATTCATGGATCTGATAAAGAAGGATTTGCTGATGGTTTGGTGTTGATGAGGAGAACTGTGTGAATAAAGTGAGATAAAGACAGAAGAACCGCTGGGAATCTTTGCCAGAAGGGATCAGGTTAAAAAAAAGGGATGAGTAAAGTACAGAGGTGTCAAAAGAATTTATGTTTATTACTCAAGTGAAAATATAAATCAGTATTTATCAGCATCAAATAAGCTTTTTACTCAAGTAAAAGTGCAAAAGTACAATTTTCAAAACTACTTGCAGAAAAAAAGAAACGCTTTACTGCACTACCCTTTTAAAGGAACTTTTTTTTTTGGGAGGGGGGTTTACGGCACTAGTGGCTTGTTTTTTGGACAGTAGGCTGACAGGAATGGGGTATGAGAGAGGGGGAGAGACATGTGGCAAAAGACCACAGGACGCATTCAAACCCGGGTCGGCCGTGTCGAGGACTAAGGCCTCCGTACATGGGTCGTGTGCGCTAAGCACTGCACCACCGAAGCACGCCCAGAAACATGCTTTTCCGCATTTCTGGATGACAACAGTGTCAAATTTCACTTTGCATCAAAACTATGTATTTTGTTATGTGGCGAAAAACTGTGCAGTACCAAGTCCAACCCCAAAGAAATTAGTCTGTATGAATCAAATTATTTGGATGACTTTTTTTTTTTTTTTTTTTAACCCAACAGGCCATAACGAAAGTGAGCTTAAATGAAACAAAACTAACAAGTCTATTTTTAAAATGTCAGGAAAAAGTAGAGATAACTGCAAAAAAATTTAAGAAGTAGAAGTAAAAAGTGGTCTAAAAAGTAATTACTCCAGTAAATTATAGATAGACAAAATGTGTACTATAGTAAGGTAACAGGTTTTCTCTGGCAGAAAGCCAGAGCAGTAAGAAGCCAAGCATAGTCAATTACAAACAACAGATACAAGTTTACTTAACAAAGTTAAACTATTAGCATCTACCTTTCTTCTGAAAAACACTTACAGTGTAGCAGTTTCAGGTATAGAGAACTGAGTTTTAGTTAAAGCTAATTAGGTCAGATATTTGTCTTTCCATGATGTAAGGCTTTTATCCTTAGTAAGCATACTTTGACCACTTACGGTAAGTACAGCTTGAAGATTTTCTAGTATTTTAATAAAATCTACATCTGTTGCTGCTACTTCAATGCATCTATAAGGTAATTGAAGGGGATTTCACACATCTTGTGATTTTATATTTGTTTTTCCTTTTTCCAATCAAAACTTTGAGAACAGTGTTATACTTTCTTGCCATGACATAAATGTGTTACCTATCCAGCTCAGAGAACATCACACACTTCTAACGTTATCTTTCTTCTCCCTTTTGTGTGTTTCAGTCCGTAGACCCAGCTCAGCAATTCACATGGGAAAACTCCAACTTGGAGGTCAACAAACCAAAGAACCGCTATGCTAATGTCATTGCATACGATCACTCCAGGGTCATACTCTCCAGCATTGATGGTAAGAAAACCTTCAGTGGGGCCTGATATTCTTTTAAAGGATTTTTACAGGGTAATAGATTTGGATGCAGTTTGATGAAAAAAAAAAGTTGGATTAGAAAATTAATTTTAATTCATTTTAATGAATCAGTGCCAATTTCCAACACATGTTGTCCTCAAAGTCACTTGAAATTTGTTCAATGGAGTCATAGACATACTCCAGGTCATATATTTCAATTTATTTATTAGTAAAACAAGCTATTCAGTTTAGTTGTGAAAATACAAAAGTAAGGTATTGTGTTACATGCATTCAACTCCACAGTTGTCAAATGTAGCATTTACTTTTCTTTTTTTTTCTGAGAGTTTTTTGCTTTTACCTTCAGGGAGTTGTACACCTAGCTAATGCATAGCTCTGCATCAATCTGTTTTTAACAGCAGCAAAGCTAAAATCTGAAGACTCATTGCAACACCACTGTTATAAGCATGGCAGAATGTTAACATGTATTTAAATAAAAAGAATGATTAGAGAAATTAAAGGCAGAATGAACTGCTCTGAATTACTTACATTACCTGATGACTATTACCGTAACATGCATGTTTGTTTTCACATGCAAGAGTCTTAGACTTTATTGCCATTTTGTACACACAATTTCATTCAGTACAGCTCTCAAGACATTTCCATTTCTTAAAGTGCAGTGTGATAAAATGTAAACATTGTGATCAAATGTAAACTTAAGGCTGAGATATGATTTGCAGTTTTTCTAGCATTCTGCTTTTTTTATATATATATATATATATATATATATATTTTTTTTTTTTTTTTTTTTTTTTGAGAGAGAGAGAGACAAGAGTCTAGGTTTCAGCATTTCATCTAGGCATTGTACATGAATTATATGAGACTCCTTCATCATCAAACACAAAACGCCACCTTTTTTACAATAAAAAACTACAAAAATAGATAACAAACATTAAAAAAACAAACAAAAAAAGTTATGCATATAAAAGTCCCCCATTTATTTAGATCTAGATCTGTCACCATGCTGTCATTGCTACTTCCTCCATCCCACACACCAGTGTCCTAGCAAACCACCTGTGCCGGTGCCAGGGGCTGGTACTGGAGCAGCTGCACACACTCAGTGAACCGCTATAAACTATCAATCTTACATGGTTCTGGCTCTAACATCCAATCTGGATTGCCATCAAATCCCAGGCTGCATTATCCCTGTGTCTAAAATGATTATTGTCACAGACAGGGTAAGGATCACTGTTCTCTACACCTGCTCATAAAGTAACTAGGGCCAAAAAACTGCTTTACTATGTTTGGGAGATTTTGGATTCCTTTAGAATCAGCTGATATCGACCTCTCCTTTGTTGAAGCCTAGATTAATGCTGCTTCATTCGATTTTATTCCAAACACGTCACTCCTGCTGAATGCTGCTTCAGCAGGAGCTGGTAGCGTTCAGAGACGCTGCTTTTACCAATTAGATTTCAGAGTTTTGAATTCACTGTGTTGGAGCAATCAATGAAGTCCTTAGATTTTTTTATGGTACCTCTAACCTTCTTCCAAGCACTATTATTTATTAATATATTATTAAAAGAGACAAACTGGCTAAGACATGTGCGCTATGATATATGAAATACTCCCACTGTGTGTGGATGGAGAATCCTTACCACACTTATATGATCTCCGAATGTTCTAATATGTTTTTCTTTCTCAATTTTTGATACTTTATTTGTTTTATATCAAAAAAGTCAACTAAAAATACATATTTCAATAAAATATCCCACATTTTCTCCTATTATGTTATATATTTTTTAAGATGCAATAATAATTTCAGACTCAGAGGATTTGGTTATGAAAATCTGCTCTTGAAAATTCTCAGGAATACGTTCAACATGTACCAGTTTCTGTGCATTCTGACCAGTTGAATGATTTATAATGAGAGGTGGAATTAAAGAAGAGAAAATAGTCGTAGTTCTGTTCTGATTGTGCATTTTAAAGCACGCTCACCCACCTCAGCTGGGAAAGACCTGAGGCAGTAAAACCAGCAGCTCCAATGCACAGAGAAGGAGGCAGTGGGAGGCCAAGCCCAAATAGATGTGCCTTATCTGGGCAGAGCATGTGTGAAAAGCCCTACCACCCCCATCTGTCCTGGAGCCCTGGCTTGTCTGTCTTCCTTTCAGCTTTGAAAACATATACTCTTGAGCACATCCAAAGCCACAGTGCCACACATTTATCAATGCATGCACGCACACACATTCTCTGTGCTGTAAATTTAAAAGAAAAAAAAACAGAATATGGGAAAGCACAGATATGCACTTTTTGCTCCCAGTCTCCCTCACACATAAAAGCAGAAGCTCTGCCAAGCCAGTTCAGCCACAGAGAAAGTGTAACTCTGTGTGCATTTATCTGCAGAGTGCCTCTGTTTTAGTCCCTTGCATTAAGTTAAAGCGCATCAAAGCATTAAAGCCGTCTGTCCTTTAAAGACTGAGGCTGATAAACATATGTTTGAAGCTCGTATTACTGTCTGTCACCATCCCATTGGAACTAAGATGTAAGAAAAAAGAGTCTTCTATTTAAAGGGGTTTGTGCGTCTGAACCGTGTGAGATGTTGGATTGGGGTTTTACAACTGCACGGGTCGTTCTGATAAAGTAATCTGCCTCAGAAAATCAGCTTCGCTGGTTTCTTTCTGTAGGGATTCTGCGGTTTTCGCTTGGACTTTTTTTTTTGGGGGGGGGGGTTCTTTTTTAGTTTTTTAACTGTAAACTGTCATCAGAAGACTCTAAAGGATTCGGGTCACGGCTCAATGTGCAGCGTGCGTTCTGAACGCATGTCTTTGAGTCTGTGTTTTCTGCGTATGCGTGCATGTTTGAGCTGTGACTCAGTGATTTTTGGGATTATGGTATTAGGCCCTAGATGAGCGGGCCTGATCCCAAATCAAACACACACAGACCTTCTCCCACATTGCACACACACTCGCACACAATCCCCTGCAGGACAGGCAGCGTCAGCCGAGTCTTACACAGAGACGGCCTTACAGTCGTTCTGCCATTGTAGGCGAAACATCCACACTATACTCAGATTAAGCCCATGATCGTCTTAGCTTGTATAATAAAACAAGATGACGGAACAATCCAGCACCAGAGGACACTGGGCCCTGTGAAATCATTAATCTTTCTTCCAGGACCTTATATGATTCTCAACCTTTATTACTTTGACATAAACCGTCTGTCAAAGCAGTAGACTTAGGTAATCCCTTTAAATATTTTTTTTTTCTCTATACAGCTGAATAAAACTGATGTTCGCAGTGAGATGAACTAATTCATTGAGAACTGCTGTGATTTGAATCCTTTTTTTAACATGTTAGGCATCTGAAAGGGATGTAATGATACATCCAGTTTGATTTTTTTCACAATGCAAGAACTTAGCAGTATGAAGGGGACCACTATTAATCCCTTTTATTTATTTCTTTTTATAAATATATACTAACCAACCATCCATCCATCAGGTACATCTGTTAAATTAATAAGTGCAGCAGTGATGAAATGCAAACAGTGTGGGAAAAAAAAGAAAAAACGTGCAAAGAAAATGCATTGATTTGGAAGTTCAGAACACATGGCACAAATATGCAGTGTTATGCAGTGTTTATCTTAGAAATCACTAATTAAATGGGACCTTAATGTCTGAGAAGAACGAGGCTGAGTTTGGTGGGCAAACTTACTCTGGACCAAGGTATGCAGAAAACTTTTTTTACTTTTGTTATATTTGAAATTAGTGATTGCAGAGAGGAGAGAAGACATGTAGAGACAGGCCGGGACTTGAACCCATGACAGGTGCATCAAGGACTGAAGGGGCTTTCAGTCAGGATGCAGCGTGTGCACCACTGGACATTGAAATCCATTATTTTCAATGGCATGTGCCAAACAAAGGCCCAAAAGTGCTGTGCTAAGGAAAGGTCCCTTGCAAGCCACAGTCAAAGCTCAAATAGGCTGAACTTTAACCACAGCACGCAGACGCGCATTTCACAGAAAGCAGCATACACGGGTTAACCTCTACAGCACTGCTACATCTCCAGAGCATCATATCTAAGAGGAAAACATGTCAGTGGGCTACAACAGCAGAAGGCCATACCTGGTTCCACTGCTGTTAGGCCCACAGATGTGAACGACATTTAAGTGAAAGATAAATCAAGTTGTTTTAGCTGCAACATTTTGACAGTATGGTCTGTGCTTCGAGTCATCCTTTCTGGTATAAACATCAGCACCCCAGCTAATCACTGATTAACCACAAAAGTATACCAGAGTATAGGCTGACAACACCCATCTCTTTATCATTGCTGCTTCCATCTAGCCATATTCTGCCACTATGAGGGAAAGGTGGGCTACACACTAAGCAGGTCACCATTGCAGGGTATGGCAGAGACTCTCAAACATCAATGAGAGACAGCAGTTAACTTACTAGTCAACTTTTCGAACAGTGGAAGGAGAGAATCTATGCATGTGCTGCAAGATATCCAAACTCCATGCAGAGAGATCCTGGGCTCAAATCCCAGACCTTCTGGATGCAAGGCAACAATGCAGCCCTCATTGCTACTGTTCATCATTTACAGGACCTTAGTCAAACAAATTAAATGAGATCATTCAGACAGACAGACTGATATGAAATTTGGAACTTTATTAGCTTAATATAATCCAATATTTTCATTTTGATAATGAAAATATTTAAATAACTGCTCATGATTTGCCAATTTTCTATTAAATATTATTTTTCCCGACTTGTGACCTTTGGATCTTTACCTTCTTTCATGACACTTTAGTTCAACATACTTTTAACTTTAGTCTTCCTCTTATTACCCAGGTGTCCCTGGCAGTGACTATATGAATGCCAACTACATTGATGGCTACCGTCGTCAGAATGCCTACATAGCCACGCAAGGCCCTCTTCCGGAGACCTTTGGGGATTTCTGGAGGATGGTCTGGGAGCAGCACACAGCCAACATTGTCATGATGACCAAGCTGGAGGAGAAGTCAAGGGTAAGATAACATGGAGAAATAAATGTAGAGTAAAGCATCAAGAACAGGGTAGAGTAATAACTATTCAACATACCAGGTTGACTGCGACTGAAGAACAAAAAAGCCAAGGAACCTTGCACACTGTAGGAGACAGAGTTAAATGCTTGAAGCCAGTTAAATAAGGGGAAATAAAAACTGGATTGGATCTAGGATGATTAATGGTGCCATGAGAAGCCATTTATGTTCAGCTACGGTAGGCTAGTGAGTATGTTGGAAGGAAAACTGTCACAAGAATAAATTGTGTAAAGTACCTGACACCAGAAAAATAATCAGAAACCCACTCTAGCTTGATTTGACACTAGCCTATTTATTAATTTACAACGTTTATTTATAATGAATTACTTTTTATAATTGTATATAGAGGCACACTGTCATGTCATTTTTTCATTATTTGCAGTACTTGTTAAAAGATCAACACACAGCATTGCATTACTGTGAAGCGAAAAATGACACAAGGTTTTTGATTTCTTTTCCTAATATAGAAAGATGGATCTTCGTCTTTATAGCCTTCCTTCCTTTGATACCCTTTAAAGAAGAATATTGACAGCACAATAACTAGTCTTGCACTAAGATGAAAGCCATTCTCCCAAAAAAACGCCATGACTGTTAAGTTCTTTGTTGAGATTGATGTTTGACAAAACATTTATACTCAGCATCGACCTAAATACCTCCTTCCAATGTTCAAACACGGTAATGACAGCAACATTCTATTGGGACGATATCTATTTCAGGGGGACTGAAAAAGCTAAGCGTAGAGTGGATGTGAATATGGACAGAGCTGAGATACAGAGCAATCCTAAATAAAAACCTTTAAGTGCAAAAGAGTCAAGACTTGTCAGGAGTTTTTCCTTTTAGCAGGATAAGACCAACGCTTAATTGTTATTTTGGAATGTCCAAGTCACAGTAAACGAAATCCTATTGAAAATATTTGGCAAAACTTGAAAATTTATTCTAATAGATGATTTTAATCCATTCTAACTAAGCTTTAGCTACTTTGCATAGTGGATTTAATAAATCTGTAAAGTTGGTAAAGTCGTACACCAAAGGACTGACAGATGAAATTCAACAGAAAAGGGGGAGAAAAGTAATACTGTTGGAGGGAAATTCAATACAAACACATTCCCACTTTTAAGAACTTAATTTACTGTAAAATTTTAATTATTTGTCCATTTTCATTCCACTCTGATCTATTTGTGTTGTTGAGTCACATAAAATCCCAATAAAAACACATTAAAAACTTGCATTTGTCACATGAAAAATATTGTAGGGGTAAGAATACGTTTCCAGGGCACTGCCCATAATCATTAGCTTAAAATCCTTTTCTTTGACTCGAAGCAGCGAGCAGCACAAGGCCACATGAAGTGGATCAGAACAGAATAGAGCAGAGCAGTATGTTGATGAGCAAGGGCTGAAAGGGGATTACAGACACAGCTAAACTGAGGTCGGTAATGAATTAGAAAGTCGTTTGATTCTGAGGCATTTCGCTGTTAACTGAATGTGCGCCTGAGTGAAAATCAAGCATAATGAGAATGTCATGTAAGAATAAAATGAACAAGAATGGCTGGAGGTATGAATCATGATTAAGTGCTAACTATTATGTCCGGAGTCCTTTTCAGAAACCGGTCCTTCCTCCCCGCCTGTGCTTCTTCTCCTACTAACTTGTGCTTTGTGTTAAAACTCTCTTTCCTTTTCAACCTTTTCCAACCGTCTCTGTTGTGTCTCTCTGACCCTCAGATGCCCTCTTATTTCTTCTCTAAGGCAAGATCTCTCTTTCACTCCTTTTCTAATCCTCCCCTTTTTTAATGCACCCTTATCCCTTTCCCCCCTTTATTCCCTCTGTTTGGTTTATTTTCTCAGCTGTATTGAGTGATAATGCAGACTCGTTTACCAAAAGCCACCTAACATGGTCTGAAATGGGGTTATTTTTAACCGCTTCAGGTCAGAGACAATGCACATCGGTACAGTTTGCATGATCACAACACTTTTTTTTATTTTCTGTCTACCACCATTAAAAGAGTACAGTAGTTCATCAGACTTTGCATAAAATCTTGATCAACATTTAATGTTTGAGCTTAATCAGGCTTCATTCGATCCGTGTTAAATTCCTGCGAGGGGAATCTGTCAATGTGGACAAATTGGGTCTTGCTGTTCTTCCTGTGGCTGTAAGACTGGTTGTGTTTGAGTAGTGAGCAGCTCATTTAAAAAAATTGATCTTATTTCACACCTTTCAACGTTACGGCGTTGTGTGTTTGCCCATTTAGACCAAAGACTATCACAGATGGTCCCACGTTGGGAATCTTGCCAGTATCCGTCCTCCAAGCACAAATCAGTTCCCATTCATCCTGTTGGGGCCCATAACTCTACAGTTAATACAGTCTTCACACCATTTTTGCTCCTTTTTTTTTCGGCTTTTTTCTCTGCCCCCTTTATTCACTGGCAATGAGCTCAGCCCCCCTATGTGGACAACCATTTCTGTCCCTGCAGCTTCTCAAGGTCTGGTGGGAAAACAACAGTTGGAAAGCTGTAATTACAGCCTGAACATCCCAGGCCAAAATGCATAATCCCCAGTCTGGAGCAGTGGAATGCAGGGCAAACTGAGTGCTGAGCTCCCTGCCGTCTTTGATGTGAAGAGCGGAGGGATCAGCACATAACGTTTGGTTTGGCCTGGTTCTGCCAAGGCCCACCCCTACCAACCTCTTTTATCCCCTCTGGGATTTTCTTTTCTTCCCTTCTCTTAAGTCTCTGTAGCCGAGCTATAGAACTACAAAAATGATCGCCCTAGACCAAGAAATTCCAGGTGCTTTGGTGGTCGTGGATTGATTCCTCTTGCTGTCACTTCTCACTGCACACACTCACTAAAACCACTTTCCCATCACTGGTTTGATTCTGTATGCATTTATTTCAGTATTTTGATCTGAACTATTAAAATCTTAAACTGATCTACTTCATCGCTTCTCTCTCCTTTCTTCACCTCCTTTTGCATATGTTCCCCTCTTCAATGTTTTTTTTTCTAATCTTGCTTCACAGAACTGTGCACATGCAAAAAAAAAAAAAAAACCTGCATCTCACAACTTCTCGTCTTTTTCTCTTGTAGGTGAAATGCGATCAGTACTGGCCAACACGTGGCACAGAGACCTATGGCCTCATACAGGTCACTCTGCTGGACACGGTGGAGCTGGCCACCTACTCTATGAGGACCTTCGCTCTTTACAAGGTAGCATTTTTTAACAGCACTGAGGGTTGTTCACAGTGAAAATGTCCATAGGGTGCTTTGTTGAGCAGAGATCGTCCTATTTATATGTATTTTTTTTGCAAATGTCTGCTGTCTAATTGGTAGTTTTTTAAGAAGATACGACAAATGAACACTTAAAGACAATCTTTTTGTCATTAATAATTGGAGCACACACAATGTTAGCTTTTGTGTATTTGAGATATTTAAGCAATCGTGGTAGAATTGGGATTTTTAGACTATTTAGCTTCTAATATTAACAATTAGAACTGTTTGCATGGTTAGCTTTGCTAAACCATCAATAACTTCGTATTCTTTAGAATAGACAGAGATTATCTATTTACATTTCTTGAAGGTTCTCAGCATTTGTTAATGTTGCTTATTCCACAACAGAACCACAACTTCATAAAATTTGATTTAGCCTTCCTGTTATCTGCTGAAAATCTTGTTCTCTCCTGTTGTCTGATTAAACCACAAATACGTCTCAGCAATTCACTCAACATACAGCTTTCTTCAATAGCTTCCTACTGTACCACTGTATCACTGTTGATAAGTTTATTGATAAGTCTTCTTCGGTCAGTTACAGCATCTGCAATCAAGGGTTATCGGTCTGTCAGACAGGATTGAATGAATGCAAGGGGCAAGCACAAGGGAGCTCCAGGGCACAGCGTCCATATTTGTTCCGCCAGCGCAGCAACGAACAGCCAGTGCAACAGCGTTCATTGCCGAGCAGCAAGTGCATAGCAAACTGCATCTTGTCTGAAAGGCCTTTTAGGGTTAATCAGACCTTATAGCATGACTATAGTGCACGCACTGATTGGAGGTTGTCATTTTTTTCAAGTGTCCAGCAGGTTAATCATTGGCCCAGATCAATCAAACTGAAAAACACAATTTTTATCTGTTTGCTTTTATCTTCTTTAGGCCTGTAAAAATCAGAATACAAATCAAAGTGTTTGTTATTACATGTAAAATGTACTGCTTGTCAAGTCTTACTCACAACTCAAATCACTTTACACTGAGCACACAGTGGCACTCAGATTCATACATATTAGTTGCCCTTGGGGCTAAGAACCCTCTCAAGGGAATAGGAGGAAGATGTAATGGAACTCACAACTTTTAGATTGCAAGATGAGTTTTCTACCTACGGTATCTCATAAAAAGCACATCATGATTTGTTCCTTCTACTTTTAAATACAATAGCAATAATACAGTTATTAAAAAAATTGTATATTTCATTTATTAGAATGCCAACCTCCCATGATGAGACTAATGTTGTGGAAAAAAAGACTGGTCAATCCTTTTAAGCTGAACTCTAGCGTCAAATTGCATCTCTGTTGCATCATTCCCAAAGTTTCTACTAAAAAATTAGATACATTTTGAGCTTTTATGATCAGTGTCATCAGCCGTATCTGCAAATGGAAAAACAATGTAAATCTTTATAGGAGAAGAACAACATGCCTCCATTAAAACATGATGTAGATTGACTTTTTGAGGAGGGTTCGCCCTATCTTTATCAATACCTCAGAGTCTCTACAGAATGGAGTAAAGTCTCAATACTTCCATGGCTTTTGGAGCAAAACATTCCATCTAGTGTGGGAAAATCCAGTCTGAGTCACAGTTCAATGGTTCTCCGACAGGATAACATTCCAAGATACACAGCTAAAAGCTTTAAAATGGCAGAAGAAGAAAAAAACCACCCTTCTCAAATGATTCCAGATTTTAATCTCACTAAAAAACATGGAAAGAAAACTGCAGGGTGGAGATGCCAACCCTTATTTTGGAAACAGCCGAACCAGTTGGCCGAGTGGAGCAGACAACTTTCTGGTAACTGCAGACAGAAAGATCAACTATTGGTCCTAATAAAGCTAGGAGAGGAGAGGAGAGGAGAGGAGAGGAGAGGAGAGGAGAGGTAAATCAAATTGTTCAGGTAACTCACAATCGCTGTACTTATAATAATTTTATATCAGTAAAAATAATAAATAAATAAATGTGAGAGGAAGAGGTTGGTAGCATGAGGATTCTACTGCAGGTAAGATAGTGAAAACATGATGAAAAACTAATGAAAACATACTAATGAAAAGGAATCGGAGATGGCTCAACGTGGAAGCTTTAGGGAGGGCTAACAAGGAGTTAATAAAAACTGGTTGCCTGTATATACACTGCAGTGGGGATTACTACTGCACATGTTAAACAGATTGTTTTTACTACTGGACAAGGAAGCACTGAAGAAAAGTAATGACTAAACCAGTGAAGGAAGGCAGGCCAGGTTTATTTGTTTAGCTCCATAATACAACGAATAATTCAAAGTGCCCCACAAGAAAAACAAAAAGACAAAGATTTGAAAAATACCAATACATTAGGAAGATAAACAAAGCAGCTATCAAAAGCATGAATTATCAGATACAATCACATCAAAGAAAACCATAGAAGCTGGTGAAAATTAACTCTGTAGGGACTGTATAAATGAAAGGTGCTTTTACACCAAAGCACCTTTGTTTCCTCTGAAAACTGGTTTCCTGTAGATCGAAAGAAAGCTGATGAAAGCTAGTCTAACGTGTAGTACGGACCAAAGTAGTATTTCTGGTCTGCCTGAATCTTGGTTCACTCACAAAAAAAATAAACCCTTGGGCGATCCGAAATCCAAACGGACTATTCAACGAATCAAAGAGAGGAAACTAAACCAAAGGAATAAGCTGTTAGCTCCTTTTTTTCCCCATCTTTCTTGACACGCTGCAATCGGCCAATGTCATACAGTGTATTTCTTTAAAGCATTTTTTACAATCAGAAATTTCAGGTATTTATGATTCAGATGGAAATTATATATCACAAAATATTTAGACTGAATATTAAAATGGCGCACTCTGCAATGATGGATAACTGCATGAGGCAGTTTAGATCGCTTTTCAATGCGAACAAAAGGCCTAACTCCAAACTGAGCTAATCTATTCTTCTAACAGGTTCTCAATACTATTTTCTTTTGGAGGGGAGAGCTTTTTTAAATTGAAAGGAAAATAATGACAGTAGCTTCATTACACTACAAAATATGGAAATCTCAAGTCAATTTTTATTAAAAATAAGTGAACTTTCTCTTAAATTGAGGAGGTAAGTGAGACACTTTGCCAATGGAACAAGAGGATTTACGTTGAAAATAATAAAAAAAAAAAAAACATTTGCAGGCTCTTATTTCAAATGCATATTATCTAATTATCTTATTTTAAGAGTAAGAATTCAACTCATTTCATTGGCAAATAATCTTATTTACCTGCTTAAATGAAGGCTAAATTTAGAAATGTTTGATCGCTTTTGCAGTGTAGTCGCTAATCTCCCCTTTCTGCTTCTGCAGAGCGGCTCTAATGAGAAGCGTGAAGTTCGTCACTTCCAGTTTACAGCCTGGCCTGACCACGGTGTCCCTGAACATCCCACCCCGTTCCTGGCCTTTCTCCGGCGGGTTAAGGCCTGCAACCCTCCAGATGCTGGACCAATGATTGTGCACTGCAGGTGTGTCAACATTTCTATAATACCTAGCTAGTTTTGGTTCTATCTATTCAGTAATTACAAACCTGATTTCAGGATCAGATTTGTTTCCTGCTTCTTTTTGGGGTAATTTCGAGGTTTTAGTTTATGAAAAACAGCCAGAGTTTAAGTGCCTGGAATTACCTGCCAATATGCAAACCCCAAACCACCATGACTGAGACTCCTGCATTCCTTACTTCACAAAATTCACCAGCTCAAAGATTTTTCCATGATTACTTTCCAGTGTTGAATACTGCCCATTCTTGCTGCTGGAAAAAAAATTGGGTTCATAAGTTTACATTGAAATGAGTTGCTGTCTAAGCAGCGGGAAGCTCATTTGCTGGATGGAGGAAGATTCTAAAAACGTGTCATTACTGTCACTGCGCAGCGTCGAGTTCCAGAGCTGGAAAGAAACACCTATTTGCTTTTACCAGCAAGAGAGAGAGAGAGAGAAGTGAGGAAAAAGAAAAGTTAGAGCTGAGTGGAGAAAATATGGAGCAGAAGCTCTCAGGGGGAGGAATTAGTGGATATGGACGTGGAGGAAGAAAGGGAGAGGGATCGGAGACAATGATTGAAGGAAAGTGGTATCAGGGGGAGTGGGAGTCAGAGGGGGGAGACTGGTGCAGAATGGGAGAGCAAGGTGAGGTGAAATCCAGGACGCAATGAATGAAAATGATGAATTAAAGAATCACAGCGATGGGGAGAAAATGGAGTGTGAAGAAAAAAAAAAAAAAGCAGAAATGTGAGAGTGAAAAAGTGTCTGTGCTGGTGTGCAAGTTTCAGACGAGTACTTGGAGGGAAGATAAAGAGGCAGGGGGATGAGGGCAGGAGGCTGGCAGGAGAGAAGCTCTTCCTAATCTTCTGTCACAGTCAGATGGAGTATCCAGCAGGATTATCAGTCAAATTTAATTATCTCGGCAAGACTCCATCATGATGTGCCTTAACACATCAACCAGCCTCCACAGACCCAATCTCATTCCACCTGAACATACACGCACACACAGAGTAATATTAATGTAATCACATAAAGGGCTTTCTATCCGCTGGCAGAAACCTGCTCGGTCAGGTCGTCTCACCATTTAGCTACCAGCACAGCAGAAATGTGAAGTGTTTGGGTTGGCAGCTAAATGTATTAAGTTTCTGGATTATATATCGATAGGGGTGATATATTTATAAAGCTGACTCATTGCTGATTTCCATTTTTTACGTGTTTACATGTTGGAACTATCACCAATTGGCTGTTTTGCCTCATTTAAGCACCAAACGTTGGAGCTGTCCAGGCCCAGATTTAGTACTTACACTGCTGATATTAAACCTAGGGTGAGACAATCACATCGCCATCTGTCAGCTCATTTATTTATTCATTATGACCTCAGCGCTGGTGTGGGTCGAACCGGCTGCTTCATCGTCATCGACGGCATGACGGAGCGCATCAAGCACGAGAAAACCATCGACATTTACGGCCACGTCACGCTGATGCGCTCCCAGAGGAACTACATGGTCCAGACAGAAGATCAGTACATCTTCATCCACGATGCTCTGCTGGAGGCGGTAACGTGCGGGAACACTGAGGTCCCTGCCAGGAACCTGTACTCCTACATCCAGAGGCTGACCCAGATTGAGCCTGGGGAGAACGTCACCGGCATGGAGGTGGAGTTCAAGGTGAGGAAACATGTCTGCCTGACTGAGGAAGGGAATGGACTTAGGCCAGCATGCTATTAGGAATGCAATATTATTGTTAATGAACAATAATATTGCATTCCTGCATTTTCCTCATCCTCGTCTTTCTTGTCTGTCATCACAATATCTTCCATCATCTCTTGACATTTTTAGCCTCTGATATTGTTGTTAAAAGCCTGGGCATTTCATGTTAGTTCAGCTGTCCAAGCATTGAAGCCAAAGACATTATTCCAGAGCGTGAATGCACTTTAAACATTAGAAAGCTGTGCCACATTATTAAAGCTTTGCATTGTGCAGTTTTCTGCAGGAAGACAGCTGGACTGAAACTCTTCTAAAGTCAAAGACGATATTGAATTTAATTAAATTCAATTACTAATTCACTAATTAAAGTGAGTGACTTTAGTGCCCCTTGTGCCAAAAAGAAGTACTGCAATTAAAAATACCAGGAACGTGAATTGATGATAAATAAAAATAAATCTTCTAAAAGTTTTTTTTTTCTTGGTTCCAAATCAATATTCCCAATTCTTTATTTTATACCACAGTTTTGGACCCAATCCTTATTCATTTACACCTCTAAAGCAGGCAGTGCCAGACCCCTATGTGATTCTTTGCTGTCCTAACTTTAAACAACGTAAACAGGAATGACTATTGGTATAATAAAGATGAATATAGATTAGATATAAAAAAAAAACTTAGCATTTCTCCTGTATTCATGTTACATAGAAGTTTCCTGTAGGTTTTTCCAGCTCTGTAAAGGGAAACCATTTTCAGAAACCTGTACTGCATAAAGGAAGTTAAATTATATCCATAAATAAACAAAAAAAGCAGCAGTAAAAAAAATACAAATAATGAAAAGTTAGTTAAACTAAAATAAATATTACTAATTATTACCCGCTTTGATTGAATTGAGCCTGAGGAAAGCGGCAGAACATAAAACCCTCTAATGTAGGGAGATGTTAGAATGGCTGTTAACCTCTAAGCTCCTTACGATTGTTATATTACTACCTATAATAGCAGCCTCTGTACTTCACTCACTTGTGCTTTATGTTTTACTAGTTATAGTTTCAGTCCTTAAAGGGCGCTTTATACAATGGAGCCTGAGAGGTTGCAGCTTTATGATATCAGCCTTCATAGATCTGCTGGTGCTTTCAGAGAGAATTCGCTTTTAAAGTTGGTTATCACATCTTAAAATAGAAGTCCTACTTTTACAGATTTATTGAGCTGGTTTCTAAACGGAGCAGACCAGCAGCAGACATCAGACCTGAAGCTGTTTTCCTCTTTTAACTGTTTTTCCTCTGATATCCACTTTTTCGCTGATAAGATCTCTGCAGGCCTGACTAGTCTGGCTTCCTCAGGTATATATATAGCAAAAGCAGGAGGCTTCAATTTTCCCAGGAAATGGTTTATGTCTGTTCAGACTTTACAGTTAAATCAGAGCGACTCCATGCTTTCTCCTCCATCCTATGGCCCTGCATTCCCCTTTAAATATCAGTGGGTTCTCCTTCGATTGTAAACCATAAAGCATCGTCTCCTCTGCTCTTTCATCTCGGTAGAACACCCACGGGACGTCGTGGGTCACCATCTGAAGCTCCCACCACTAGAGAAACACTAAAAAGCGTGGGGGATTTCTCACAGAGGATGGCGTCACATAAAAAAAGAAAAGAAAAGCTGAAGCATGTCTGTGAGAAAATCAACAAGCGCAGTTCCCTGGCTCCACGTTTAAGACGCCGTGTTTTTGTTTCCCCCTCTCTAGACGAGTTCAAAGCTGGTATTGGCATGTGTCGAATGGAGGGGTAAAGACGTGTTTGCTTGCTGATAAAACAGACGGCGTGAAGAGTTACTGCTGTTGATGCTGGAAAGTCAGTTCAAAGTTCATCGCCGGATGACTGGTGGACCTGTGGTCGGGTGGGGGGGGATTTTCCATCTTAGCTCGTCTGTAAGAAAACAAGGTAGTGCTGGTTCTTTCACAGCCGCTCGGTTGCCAGACTCCATTGTTCTGCCAGAGTCTGCGGTCTCTGCCTCGACCCATTTTTATGTTGCTCTGTCTCTCATTTAAAGATCATGTCATCCAATGGTCGAGGCTGAGGGGAGTCATCCCACTGTCTACACTTGTACTTACATACAATCATGTTTTTTATTTCTTTATATCACTCTTTTAAAGGGGGGGTCTTTTTTCGTCTTCTGGTGCATGATTATGTGTGGTTCACATATGTGAGCTGAGACACTGTGGGGCCTTGTGGTTTCCTGCACCCCAACTCTTGATTTTTCTTCTGCTCTGTTTCGTCTCGTTACATTCGCCCCCTTCCGTTCCCCGAACCGCTGCCCCGATCCCTCTGAGTCGCCCCCGCTTTGTTTATTCAATTTAAGATGTCTGGCTAAATATCCTGAGGCCTGCCTGCTTTAGCTGATCATCCTATTTCACTTGTCCAGCTCGCCAGAGGAAGTCCAGACCGTCTGTTGAACGCATTTCAACATGCTCCTTGAATTTATCTAAATTTGTTTTTCCGTTTTCTTTTTCCTTCTGTTGATCCATATCTGTCTGGAGTGGGAAGTGGGTTATGATCTCACAAACATCTCAAACCATTTGAAATGGTTTTTCTTTTTTAAAATGCACATTACTTTTTTTTTTCTTGCTTCCAGCGCTTGGCCAGTGCCAAGGCCCACACATCCCGGTTCGTAAGTGCCAATCTGCCGTGCAACAAGTTCAAGAACCGACTGGTGAATATCATGCCCTATGAGACGACGCGCGTGTGTCTGCAGCCAATCAGAGGGGTGGAAGGGTCCGACTACATCAACGCCAGCTTCATCGACGGCTACAGGTGGGAGCCCAGCATTAGCTGGAGTGCGTCGTTGCTTTATCTGCTTGGTATTTCTACGTACCAATCATGTGCTTCTGTCTGCAGGCAACAGCGGGCCTATATAGCAACCCAGGGCCCGCTGGCAGAGACCACAGAGGACTACTGGAGAATGCTGTGGGAACACAACTCTACCATTGTTGTTATGCTGACAAAGCTGAGAGAAATGGGACGGGTAAGGCCAAAGCACAGACAAGCTCTTTTGTGTAATGCCTTGTAATGCCTTTTTTTTTATGTTAACCCAATTCTGTGTACTGAACAACCATTATCAGCTCTGCCAATCTGTCCCTTATTTTCTTATCTTGGTAGTTTTGCAACAAAGTAAGAAGGTGTTCTGATTGGTAAAAGGTTAAAATCACATTTTTGGTCCACATGCAAAACTGTCTCAACACTTGACCACCCAAACCCAACTGTGAAACCTGATGCTGGAAGCATCATATTGTCAGGATGCTCACGGTTCAGTAGAGACATCAAGGATGATCAGAGGTGATGGGGAGATGGATGGCAAAAAATACAGAACAATCATGGCTAAAACATTTCTTCAGTCTAAGATGTGTGTTTATCTCCCTGCAGGATAATAGTCCTATATATTCAGTCAGAGATGTGATGGAAAGGTTTAGATCAAACATATACACCAGTCGTCTCTGGCTAGACTTTGTAAGTTCCTGCTAGCACATGCTGGAGTTATGTTGCTCAGATCAATGAGAATAAAATGTCTCTAGATGTGCAGCTGGTACAGTAGAGCCGTGATTCCCAACCGGGGGTACGTGTACCCCTAGTGGACTGTGAGTGATTTGCAACGGGTACAAGAAAATATTTTATTTCTTAGGTGGTAAAATAAAATAGGGCTGGGATCTGTTTTGCTTTGTGAGGACATAATTGAAATATTAAATAAGCTTTTATCAAGTAAATTTTTCCTTATATGTTTGAGTTCACCTTCAGCTTTGACACATTGAAACGAGGCAGAGGAACAGACTGGCTGTAGAGAACAGCCCGGGATCAGCTGTTTATCACACTGAGCTATGGAGCTCATCAAAGCAGCTCAGGTTTCTTGATGAAAACAAAGTAAAACTAATTAAGTCAGCCGGAATATAATTTTTGTTCTTCCTTTTGTTCCCAATTCATCAAGTTCAAACATCATTTTAAGGAAGTTACTCAGAGGAGCTGCAGTTTTATAAATACAGGTTTATATTATGATTTTATTTTGTATTTATTTCCATTTCTTAATAACTCCAAGGCAACATATTTATGTTATTTTTTTATTTTATTTTAGATGCATCGAATAAAATGCCTAAAAATGAAATGCTCAAGTTAAAAGATTTAGTAAAATAGTTTTTGTTTTATAATCAGTTATTGTACTTTCCACTTTTGAACAGTCATCAATACTTTTGACTGAGAGGGGTGCTAATGGTACGAAAAAAATGCCCAAAGAGGTACATGAGTCAAGTAGAGGCATATCCCATCAGATATGGAGCTCTAATTGCAGCAAAATGTGGCTTATTGACTAAAGGGGTCAAATTCTGTACTAATGCAAGCCACCAATTCAGATTGTCCTTTGTCAAATCATGTTCATTGGGCTCTCTGGTCGATAACATAAATAATAATTAGACGTACTAAAGTATGTTTATGTAATGCAGGGGTCTCAAATTCAAGTTCTCAAATGCCAGCAATCTTGACTAACAAAACTGAATTAAACAGATTTAATTTACTCTTTAAATTTTTGTCAAGTTCTGTAGAGTTCACAACATTATTTGATTCAGGTCTGAAGAGGCAGAGACGCATCTTCGGGTTAATGGACAATGATCTTCCAAGACTGCAGTTTGACATCCCTGTTTTGAAGAAGTTGAAGGGAAATAAATACTTTTGCACAACACAATAAACCGTTGTTTGTCATATGATGCTAATGATAAACAGTTGCTATGTTTCTACAGAAAGGGTCGGCATACTTTGACATCCAAACAGCCATTTTTCCCTGAGTCCAGCTAAGTAAATATCATTTAGAGCTGCAAAATATTCTTTGCTAGTAAAACATTTTATTTCTTTAAATATCCACTATAGGAAATCTGATGCCATTTTAAACAACCAACAGCTTCTATATGTTTTTAGTATTAAAAATAAGAAAAACTAAATTAACATTTCATAAAGCTGATACATGGCTTATCTCCCATAGGGTTTAATTTAATGTAATTTATTATTTTTTTTTATGACAATACATTATTGTGCTTTAATGTCATTCTGTTGTGAAAATTTGATTTAAATGTTCTTTATAAAAAACACAAAAGCTTCTTAGACTGGTATTTGTTATTCTAGTTAGTTCTTTTAGCCACTACTAAGAGCCATCATAGAGGGTCCAGAGAGCCACATGCGACTCCGGAGCCGCAGATTGCAGAACTCTGTTCTAGAATCCCTAAACTTGATGTAAAGAGAAGGCTTTATGTACTCTACAGGAGAAATGTCATCAGTACTGGCCAGCAGAGCGATCAGCCAGGTACCAGTACTTCGTGGTTGATCCAATGGCTGAATATAACATGCCTCAGTACATCCTCCGAGAGTTTAAAGTGACCGACGCCAGAGTGAGTCTCCCATTTGCTTCTATGTTGGTTAACCGTTCTGATATATGCAGAAAGTCAAGAACTACAACCCATTTCCTTTCTTTATACAGGATGGTCAATCAAGGACAGTTCGTCAGTTCCAATTCACAGATTGGCCAGAGCAAGGAGTGCCAAAATCGGGTGAAGGATTCATCGATTTTATTGGTCAGGTGCACAAAACTAAAGAACAGTTTGGTCAAGATGGTCCAATTACAGTGCACTGCAGGTAAGACCGTGGTTTGTTTATGTTCAAAATTATTTAATTGGCTTTTAAAACATTTGGGATTGTGACGATCTAAAACTATAAATGAAAATTATCCAGTTCTTTTTATGACTACCCATAAGAATCAGCAGACTATGCTTACCCTAAAAAGCATAGTCTTACACTAAAAATCATGAATTATTAGATATGTATAGTTATGTATATAATACATCTTTTGAGTATACACCTGATCCAATCCCTTATATGGATCTGTAAAAGCATTTTTTTACATCACCTTTTATTGCAGTTGTACTGAAAAGCTGCCTAACATTTAAATACATCGAGAAGAGGAAATATGTATTTCTGAACTCATTAATGTTAAACTGTTTGGGAACCCTAAATTTGTTTTTGAATAGGACAGCTAAGTGCTAATCCATAGACGTCAGGAAGTTTCACAAACATCCATAATTATGTAGCCATGTTGGGGGTAATGCATTACCATAATATATCACAATTAGGCAGGAACAGGGTAATATAATGCATTACGACATAAAATTTGCCAAATTTATTTATATAGCACAATTCAGTACAAAGACAATGCAAAGTGCTTTACATGATTAAAATATAGGAAAATAAAACACACAATCAAAGCAAGTTGGAAAAAAATTCATAAAATAAAAAATGCAGAAACAAAAACGAATATTAAAAAACAGTTGGACTAAAGAAAATAAAAAAGTTGAACTAATGATGTTTCAGTTGAACTGTTTAACTAGAACAGTCGAAGGCAATCCTAAACAAATGTATTTTTAGTGTTGATTTATAGGAACTCGGGCTTTCCGCACTTTTACAGTTTTCTGGTAACATATTACAGCTGACAGTTAAAAAAAAAAATAAGCTGGCTTAAATAAAGAGCCCTACATAGAGCACTATACATGGGTTCCACCATACTATATGAATGTCTGTTGGATGAAAAAGTAGTGGACTCAAAATGTCCCACAAAGCACTTTGAAAAGAAGTGTGCAACTGTGGTCACTAGGCAAGCAGATATATCCCAGAAGGCTTTGCGAGAGGTCTCCACAAAGCATCATGGGATTTGTTCTGGGGGCGAGCTGGGGGTCACCTGACCAAAGGAGAGTGATCATCTCTCTGAACAGTCAGTTAACTGAGTTCGCTATATTGTTCATGCTCCATATAGTGATTGAGGGATTTAGGGGTTAGGGCGGACATTCGGACACAGCCTTGTTAATATATCAGAAGAAAAAAACGGTTTTAAAACATTCGTAGAAGAAAGCTACGACAATCAGTTCAAGGTTTTCTAAATAGCTTAACTTGCACTGATTAAAATTAATGTTGATATTAAAAGAGTGTAAACCATTGTCATGTTTATTTCATGGAAATATGACTTTTTATATTAGACCTAGTGTGGCCACTCTACTCAGGAGCAAATAAAAGGAATAGAAAAAGATCTTGTGTCATGGTGTGTAAAGGTTTGTCTACTTATCGTATATGATAAGTGATCCTTGATATGATCCTTTTGTAATCCTCATCCTAAATGTTTATTTTGGCAAAAGTTACCTATAAATAATCAGCAACTATTAATCAGTAAATATTCTTAAGAAACACATTACTTTCTAATAAAGGTAACTTGGAATATTGAATATATTTTATTTTGAAGGAAACTTCCCCAACACTGTTATCCATATGTACTAAAGCTCAATCTTTTACACACAAGGCTGACCAGTTGTTTGCGCTAGACACTTAGGAGCTTGACTAAATTTGACCTTCCAAGCAGTAAACATTTCAGCTGTGTCTGGCGTCAAATAAACAATGATTGTAAGGAGCACTTGATATGCAGTGTTAAATAGAGTGGTGGGCCTATGATGCTGGGGGCCTGGTAGAATCCTCTAGGTATATGACTTTAAATAATCTTTGGAGCAGTTTTAAAAAAGGTTAGTCTAATAACTAATCTTAGGACTGTAGACATCGAGATCTACAATCTACTACAATCTCTGTTTCAGTATTTGACATACTGTTAAATACTTAAAAAAAAAAAAGAGATCGTCTTTTCTATCCTACACCTTGATATTACATTCAAGCATATCCCCAATTTAGTACCTAAGTGACCCAAGGCCAATAAAGTCCCTCGTCATAAGGATTAGAAACAATTTTAACAATTAAGGAAATGTGTGAAAACAAAGCAATGAAAGAATCTTGAAAGAAAAGAATTTAACATTAGTCATTAAAATGACTGTTGCTATTCATATCCGATTAAAAACAGGAAATGTAAAAGGATAAAGGGCTACTTTACATGTCACAGTGTATTGAAGAAAAAAAAAGCATCAATCCATCCATTTTCTGTTCTGCTGGGGTCGCGAGGGGTGCAGCAACACAGAGACAAATGGGACAAACGATCATTCATGTACGCACTCACACTAAGGAGAATTTAGAGAAGCCAATTAACCTAACACTCATGTTTTTGGACTGTGGGAGGAAGGCGGAGTACCCGGAGAGAACCCACGCATGCACAGGGACACTGCAAAAAATTAGAATCTAAATAAGTAATTTTTCTTAAAATTAGTGCTTTTTTCTTGAATTTAGGAGGTAAGTGAGACAAACAATTTTCATTTAACACTAGAACTCCTACGGAGGGGTCAATTTTCCTTTTTACCTAAAAGCCCTACAAGAGGGTCATTTGTCCCTTTGGACCTCCTGCGGACACTCCTTTTGTTGTGGAAATGTGGCTGTTAGCAGCTCATAGCTGTCACTTGAGTCACAGAGTCGCTTGAGCCNGTGCTTTACATGATTAAAATATAGGAAAATAAAACACAATCAAAGCAAGTTGGAAAAAAATTCATAAAATAAAAAATGCAGAAACAAAAACGAATATTAAAAAACAGTTGGACTAAAGAAAATAAAAAAGTTGAACTAATGATGTTTCAGTTGAACTGTTTAACTAGAACAGTCGAAGGCAATCCTAAACAAATGTATTTTTAGTGTTGATTTATAGGAACTCGGGCTTTCCGCACTTTTACAGTTTTCTGGTAACATATTACAGCTGACAGTTAAAAAAAAAAATAAGCTGGCTTAAATAAAGAGCCCTACATAGAGCACTATACATGGGTTCCACCATACTATATGAATGTCTGTTGGATGAAAAAGTAGTGGACTCAAAATGTCCCACAAAGCACTTTGAAAAGAAGTGTGCAACTGTGGTCACTAGGCAAGCAGATATATCCCAGAAGGCTTTGCGAGAGGTCTCCACAAAGCATCATGGGATTTGTTCTGGGGGCGAGCTGGGGGTCACCTGACCAAAGGAGAGTGATCATCTCTCTGAACAGTCAGTTAACTGAGTTCGCTATATTGTTCATGCTCCATATAGTGATTGAGGGATTTAGGGGTTAGGGCGGACATTCGGACACAGCCTTGTTAATATATCAGAAGAAAAAAACGGTTTTAAAACATTCGTAGAAGAAAGCTACGACAATCAGTTCAAGGTTTTCTAAATAGCTTAACTTGCACTGATTAAAATTAATGTTGATATTAAAAGAGTGTAAACCATTGTCATGTTTATTTCATGGAAATATGACTTTTTATATTAGACCTAGTGTGGCCACTCTTTACTCAGGAGCAAATAAAAGGAATAGAAAAAGATCTTGTGTCATGGTGTGTAAAGGTTTGTCTACTTATCGTATATGATAAGTGATCCTTGATATGATCCTTTTGTAATCCTCATCCTAAATGTTTATTTTGGCAAAAGTTACCTATAAATAATCAGCAACTATTAATCAGTAAATATTCTTAAGAAACACATTACTTTCTAATAAAGGTAACTTGGAATATTGAATATATTTTATTTTGAAGGAAACTTCCCCAACACTGTTATCCATATGTACTAAAGCTCAATCTTTTACACACAAGGCTGACCAGTTGTTTGCGCTAGACACTTAGGAGCTTGACTAAATTTGACCTTCCAAGCAGTAAACATTTCAGCTGTGTCTGGCGTCAAATAAACAATGATTGTAAGGAGCACTTGATATGCAGTGTTAAATAGAGTGGTGGGCCTATGATGCTGGGGGCCTGGTAGAATCCTCTAGGTATATGACTTTAAATAATCTTTGGAGCAGTTTTAAAAAAGGTTAGTCTAATAACTAATCTTAGGACTGTAGACATCGAGATCTACAATCTACTACAATCTCTGTTTCAGTATTTGACATACTGTTAAATACTTAAAAAAAAAAAAGAGATCGTCTTTTCTATCCTACACCTTGATATTACATTCAAGCATATCCCCAATTTAGTACCTAAGTGACCCAAGGCCAATAAAGTCCCTCGTCATAAACATTAGAAACAATTTTAACGATTAAGGAAATGTGTGAAAACAAAGCAATGAAACCATCTTGAAAGAAAAGGATTTAACGTTAGTCATTAAAATAATGTTGCTATTCATATCCGATTAAAAACAGGAAATGTAAAAGGATAAAGGGCTACTTTACATGTCACAGTGTATTGAAGAAAAAAAAAGCATCAATCCATCCATTTTCTGTTCTGCTGGGGTCGCGAGGGGTGCAGCAACACAGAGACAAATGGGACAAACGATCATTCACGTACGCACTCACACTAAGGAGAATTTAGAGAAGCCAATTAACCTAACAGTCATGTTTTTGGACTGTGGGAGGAAGGCGGAGTACCCGGAGAGAACCCACACATGCTCAGGGACACTGCAAAAAATTTGAATCTAAATAAGTCATTTTTTCTTAAAATTAGTGCTTTTTTCTTGAATTTAGGAGGTAAGTGAGACAAACAATTTTCATTTAACATAAGAAAAAACAATTGCATTGTCTTATTTTAACGGCATATTATCTAATTATAGAGTCAAAATACTCATTCCAGATCATCTTATTTACCTGCTAAAGTTAAATACACTTAATTTTGGAAAATTTTAAAATAAATTCTACAGTAGGTCGTTTTTGCAGCGGAGAACATGCAAACTCCATGCAGGAAGACCTTCTTGCTGTAAGGCAGCAGTAATACCCACTGTCGCACTGTGCAGTGGGTAACATCAATTATTTAAAAACAGATTTATTTCCACCAGGAGACACAAAAGCTCATGTCTGTTAAAGCTCACTAACCGGCTAATTAAAAGCAAACTTCTAAAATGTTTCCTCTATCCCTTGACAGTGCTGGAGTGGGAAGAACCGGTGTGTTCATCACCCTTAGCATCGTCCTTGAGCGGATGAGGTACGAAGGGGTGGTGGACATCTTCCAGACGGTCAAGATGCTGCGCACTCAGAGACCTGCCACCGTTCAGACAGAGGTCAGGCTGATTTCCTTATATCTCATTTCAAATATAAACAAGCCAATGCTACATTTTGCATCATCTTCTCTCTTTATCCATGTTTTTTTTCTTTTTTTCTGCCTACTACCAGGACCAGTACCAGTTCTGCTACCGAGCCAGTCTGGAGTACCTGGGAAGCTTTGATCACTATGCAACATAAACCCAGTTGCTGTCTTGTCGCACCCCGTTCAGCCGACTGCTCCCTTTTTTGTAGTATCACACACAACCTGAATACGTGCACTTGGCTGGAACGTGTGCGTGAAGATTTTGCCACCACCTACAGATTATAAATGGGGAGGGGGGGGACAGAACATCGGCTTATCCCCGTACCCAGAAACAGCACTTCTTACTGAGCCATAGCGATCCTGCTCGACCCCCAGGGGGAGGAGGGCGGATGACTCGTTTCGCCTCCCCCTACCTCCCCCACCCAGCCCCGACACAAACACCCCTGTGGGTCAGTCTGAAGAAGCAGCTTCAACCACTTCTCCAAAAAAAAAATACTTGATCAAATATAGATTTTTTTATTATTATTATAATCAGTATTTGGGCGGTTTCAGTGCTTCTGTGAGCACCCGGGTTGCTTTGTGTTGTTTTTTTGGTGTGGAACTCTCACCTCGTCCATCACCAGTTGTAGCATCACCAAACAGGACCAAGCTGCGGGAAAGAGTTGGACTTATACTTACTCCCAGGTGAAGCGGCACGTCAAAGTCTACGCGACTATCCGCCGGAGGAGGCGTAGGCCCTTTAGGTACGGACAGAAAGAACTGAAAACGCAGAGCACAGTATTAGAAAGACAAAGAACACTTAACTTTAAAAAGGAGCACCAAGGAGAGTTTTTTGTTTTGTTTTTTTTTGGTCTCTCTTTGTTTCGGTTCCGAATTCGCTTGGAAACGGACTTTTGTTTCCTGTGAACGAAAAGAGGACATTTCTACAGTAATAAGCACCACCAGTTCAACCTTATTACGCTTCACCATTTCAAATAAGGGAAGAGAGGTTTAAACTGCAAAGCAAAACATTAATTTAGTTTTTTAGAAAGATATATGACTATTTAGTTTTTTTAAAAAAGCAAAATGTCACATTCTGTTATTGTTTTTTTTTTTTTGTTTTTTTACTTTTATCAGTTTTGTCCCCACTGACTACAGAAAAAAAAGCAAGGTTTGTAAGCCGTAGCCATGTTTCTGTTTCCTTTCTTTAAGCGTACAATCAAATCTAATGCGGAGGATGTTCACCGCTTGACGACAAACGCCACCGTCACATACCCTCCACCTCCTACCTTCTATGAAAACACTCACGCGTGTGGTGGCTTGATATCTCAGCACGTGACTATCTCGCCCCACAGAGCAAAGGGGGGACACGAGGGGCGGAGAAAGCCCCAACAAGTTGTGCATTTGCTCATCTAAACCCACATAAAACACAAAACGTACAGGACGTGTGTACAGAGGGAAAGATATGATGGAAAGAGATGAACTATTTATGAATTCAAATAAGCTTTCACAGAGATTTGGGGCAGCAGGAAAGGGATGCAGAGGGTGGGGGTTTGGGGAAGGGGACAACTTTCTCACTGGAATGCTCACATTAGACTTTTCTCTCTTGTCTGATTCAGTGTGCAATAAGTAGATGTATTATATATTTTTGTGTCAAGTCACTTAACTGCAGTTATATGCCATGATGAAGGTCTGAGGTTTACTCCAGACGCAGGAAAGTGTTTTACACTCGATTCAGTCCAGTGTGTCCAGGCAGAGCGCCACAATCCAGAGGTCACAGCAGAACAAAGGATCACAGTCACATTTCAGCATCTATTCAGTACTTTGATTTTAGATTTCTAGTGCCTTATATTACACGCCTATTTTGATAAAGTTACTTTAAATGATTTCTTTTGTGTATGAGTGTGTGTGTATATTTTCTGTATGCTGGGGTGTGTGTGTGATCTGAGTGTAAGTGTTCATGGTTTTTCTTAGGTTCCTGTATATAAAAGTGTTTCTTCTTTTTGTACATTCTGTTTTTTGATTTTTTTTGTTGTTGTTGTTGTTTTTTTGGGCTGTGAAATGTCAAACCGAAGGTTCCATGTGGGTTGGATGGTTTAAATCCAGCAGCTGTTTCAGCATTAGTTTTTTTTTTTCTTTTTAGGTGGTATTTCACTTAGGACTCAGTTACAGATGATTTTTTTATCTGGATGAAGATGAAGTCTTTTGTTTTGTTTTTTTGTACAGCTCTTTGCAAAAGTATTCTCCCCATATTGGTTTTTGAAATGTCATCCTCGATTCTTGATGAACTTCAGAGGGCTTTTGTTGTAGAAGACCCACAACCTAATGAACAATCTTTAAGTTTAAAAAAAATATATGACTTTAAAAGTGATTTTTTGGGGGGGGGGAATCTGAAAAGCATGCTGTGCATCGGCTTTCCGCTTCTCTATCTCATTTTTTTCTTTAAAGTTTTGTCTGCTACTCTGCAAAGTAACATCCAGTGTAGAGGAATTATTAGCTCCTGCTTTAAGACATGCAGGCATTTCCATTTGGATTTAGGTGTAGATTGTGATTGGGTTATTCCAACACATGAATATACTTCAGTTTAACTCTATTGTAGCTCTGGTTGTTTGTTGAAAGTCTCTGTCCTGGTTTAATATAATTTTTTTTTTTGCCCAGTCATGTTTTCCAGATCTCTACCGTGTTTTTCACTATTGAATATTTTTAACCTGTTTCCCGTCTCTACTGAAGAAAAGGATTCCCCCAGCATGATGCTACCACCACCATGCACTGCAGTACGGATGTCGTTTTTAGAATGGTGTTTAGTGTCAGTAATCTGCATTATTTAGTGTTTTCAAGAAGTTTCCAATGTTCATGCTGGTTCCCTTTGGGCCTCCTTTGAGCTAAAGCCTTTGTCTCACCACTCTCCTATAAAGGCCACATTCCTGGACAATTAATTGTTTTTCCATCTATAGATTCTCCCTCCTGTGTTATTGATCTCTGCAGAGCAACTGGGCCGCTTCTCTGTTTAACCCTTGCCTTGCCTCTTTGTTTGTTCAGTGATGGAATCAACTGATTAGTATAAAGCGGGCACTTTGTTTTATAACCTCTCAACCTGACCTGTCTGCTATGTTCCTTGGTTCCCATGATGCTCTGTTCTCACTAATGTTCGCCAACTAACCTCTGAGGCCTTCACAGAATGGCTGGATGTACACTGAGATTAAATGACACCCAGACGGCCTTTATTTACTAGCTGAGTTACTTCTGATGGTAATTAGTAGCAATGCAATGAGTTTAGGAGCATCAGAGTAATGGGGGCTGAAAATGGATGCTCTATGCCTGCACTTTTCAGATCTCTCAAAAAAAGAATTTAAATATGTATAATTTCCCTTCCACTTCACACTTATATGCTATTTTGTCTCAGATGTCACAGATTAAAGTTTATGCTTCTCGTATACACTGACAAAATGTAAAAATCTTTAACCCTGTAAAGGCTAAATTATGAACTAGTTGTTTTTAAACTAGTTTTCATTAAAAATTCTAACAAATCATTTGAATAATTTGAATTAGATGAGCTATTTGTATCATTTGTGATACATATTTCCGTCCATTTAATTATTACATGTGTTTGATAGCATAAGTTTTTCAAGAGCAAATATATCGCTGATGATGTAGAGGTCTTCAAAAACTCATGTATCAGATATGATACACTCGGTATTAAAGGGTTAAGGGATATGAATACTTTTGCAAGGTGCTTGGTACAACTCTTCACACGGAAGGCAAGTCAGACTTGCCCAGCTATGCAGTTATTTACAAGAAGCTGAACGACAGCGGAAATCTTGGTCAGTTTTAAGGTCATTTGGATGCCATCCCAGTCCACCCATGTAACCCACATGAAAAGATTCCCCTGAAGCCGGTCAGTATCCTCATCTGTACCCTTTGGTCCATGTCAGTGTCTCCATTTGTGTCTCTTTATCTAATAATGACAAAGGCAATGAGAAGTTCAGGTGCTACCAACTCAGAACAGATGTAGTCATGTTTTTTTATATCGACGCTCGACCACACGAGAGACGGTCGACAGTTTTACGTTGTCCAGCAGTGACCCTGTCGCCCAGTTATTATTATTTCATATGCATGGTACCCCCTGTTGGTCACGCAGCTTATGGAAAGACTAGCACTTTCTCTCTTTGTACTATGCACTACTAGTAGGATCTCTAATGCCCCTCCCTCCCACCCACCTCACAAAAAAAAAGGGGGCGGGACTTACTTGAACTCTTTCGGGTGGATTGTGTAACGCTCACATGGTTGTGTATATGTAAATAACACAAAACACAGAGAGTAACTGAAATGCATAGATAAACAGAGAAATAGATTAAAGATAAGGAGAGAAATTTATGAGAATACAGAGTGATATCAAAGTTGCACCTGAAATCACACTTTTACGGCACAGCTGTATTGTGCAATACGCCACTTTGTGGATTTTATTGTCCCACAAACAAGAAGTTTCACAAAAAAATATAAAAATATGCTCTAAATACCCCTTCCTCCCTCTTTCCTTCAAATGTGTAATGTAGATGGATAAAACTGGAGTTTATAAACTGTATAAAAATGAAAGTACGATGTGTTTGCTTGGGTCAGTTGCCACCAATTGGTCTGTACATGTCAAACATTCTTCATTTTGTTTCGAGCTCTGAGTCAACAAGTGCTTTTTTTTATTTTCCTATGTTGGGATCTCGGAGCGTGTGGAAAACACAAAAACCCGGTCTGTATGGATTTCTGTTCAATATCGACACAGGTTTCATTTGTTACAAATAAACTCAAGTGAAATAATTGCCGCTGGTGTTTTTTTTTTTTTTTTTTTTTTTACATTTTATTTATCTAGAAATTTCGAAAATATGTTTTTGGGTAAATGTTAATCAGGGCAAAAGGTGTCAATTTCAACAAAACAATTTGGGGGTATGCTATGCAGGTTCCTGATATGTTATGTTGTTTAAATAAAAAAAAAAGAAAAGGGAAATGGATGATTAAGAGGAACAGCATAATGACCCTTGAACATTTTTATTTTTCAAACCACCATGAAGACTATGGCTGAACTCTGCCTTAATGTTTGGCTGCAAACCTCGTCATCATCATTTTGTTTTAACCTTACGTTTTAAAATTTTAAATGAGAAGTATCTAAACTTTTTGCCATGGGCAACTAAATGTATAAAATAAATTTGTTTATTGCTTATGCTGACCTGTTATTATATATTATATATTAATGCAAATGCATATAGTTTCAGTTAAACAAGCAAATGAGTCCAGTTTTTGTAGAAAATTTTAGTTTTTGTAGACATAAATACATAAAAATAACATAAAAGGTTTCATCGGTAAAACAAAATGCCTTACAAATGTTTTCAGATTGACTATATCGGTCTGGATTTTTCTTGGTATATTTTCATCAACAAGAACATGATATGGTTCACTCTCACTGAATTTAATTTAATTCAACCGAGACTTCTGGGTCTGGTTTTTAGGGAAAGTCACTGGATATTTGCAGTCCATAAATAATAAAAATAAATATGCTTTAGGTTGCAATTTCACATATCTGTTGACAGATTTTAATTTAAGTTGATTTGGTAAAAATGACTCACATTTTTCTCAGACTAATTGCTAAAACATATTCAGACCAATCTTGAATTGTTGTTAAAGGCTTAAAAAAATCATCCTGGGAGCCAGAAATGGCCCTCGAGCCACACTTTCAACTCCCTTGCTTTAAAGAATTTCTCTCTCTCCTCTATTCAGCAAATATAACACTCTTTACTGTAACTGACCCTAAAAGCAGAAGTCTGATCCGACATCATACGCTAAAGAGAAATATGTGCCTTAAAATATCTGGTTAAAAATGCATTTAATCCTGGATGGGGCTGCCCAGTGGAGCAGTGGGTAGCACTGCTGCCTTGCTGCAAGAAGGTTCTAGGTTCAATTCCAGGCCTGGGGTCTTTCTGCATGGAGTTTGCATGTTCTCCCTGAGCATGTGTGGGTTCTCTCCAGGTACTCCGGCTTCCTTCCACAGTCCAAAAACATGACTGTTAAGTTAATTATCTTCTTTAAATTCTCCTTAGGTGTGAGTGTGTGTTGACAAACAACCATTGACAGCTGGTGATAGGCACCAGCACCCCTTGTGATGGATGGATAATTCTGGATGACCTGTGTGGTTGAAAGCAGGTCTATTGCAAATCCCAACCTGAGCTCCAAGTATCAATCTACTTTAAATACTGAAGAAAAAACCTCATAATGTGAAGACTTTCCAACCAACCTAAAGCTGAAGAGGTACAGACAGGACCCTTAGATTATGGTCAGGGAGTCATTCTTGTTGTTTCTATGATCTCTGGTTCCTCTTGTTTGAGCTAAATCAGTTAGCAGCAGGTTTCTGGGTGAACTTCAAACAGTATTTGTTGTTCATTTCCACTGAAAAACATAGCAAGCAAAAACAAAGTCATGAAAAATTCACAGTGAAGTCTCAGATGTCAGTATCCAACATCCGCTGACAAGAAGAATTTCTGACCTTTTCCTTCAACCAATGACCTTGTTCATAAGTGTCACAAAGGAAGTCTTTGGTACTAGTGGAAAAGTATAAAATCCAGAGCTCCATCTGTTATAGTGTCCTTAAAATATCCCCCACAATCCTATATAAAAATGCATATCTATATAGTATGACATATACCAAAGGAGACCCAAACAGGATGTGGGATTAGGCCTATTTTAGGCTTTTCTCTAATAAATAAGAACTTATTGTGGATTTTTCAAAACCAGATAATCTTCAAGGTTTTGCTTATAGCATTTATCAACACTCAAACAGCAGCAAGTTTGGATCTTGGATTTTCCGATCAGGTTTTGTTGATCTTGGTCCATTGATTAGAGCCAAATAATTCATACCTTCTGAACATTTTCCCCTTTTGTCACATTATTTTCTCTCTATGTTTCTGGATTTCATCCAATAGACCGATGCACACTGGTGCATAATTATGAATAAAATCGAAACAGAGAAACTATGGCCTGCATAGAGAACACTATGTCTGTAAGGCAATACTTATTTCTAACAAAGATGGTTTTAAAGACATTCTCCAGGTAATGTTGCGTTCAATAAACAGTCGATTTGATAGATTATATTCTTCAGCTTGTCCAAATGTGATATAGGTCAAAGAATGGTCTAGAAGTCAGTAGGTTTTGAGAAGGAGAAACTTTTATCCCGTTTTTGTTTTCAAGTTTGTCTCCGGCGCCGAGCGAACAGGTTGAAAAGAAACTTATCATACCGGCCATAATGATATTACATGTGGCAAGAGTGTTATGATGACATCAGACTGGGGCGACCTCTGTCTACCTTACACAGAACCAAAAACCTGGCCTTCTATCAAGTCTAGATCAGCATGGTTAAAATGTATTCCTTTTTTTTTTTTTTTATTTACATTATTTGTTACGTTTTTGACACAGAGATGTAACATTTTGCTTTCAGCATACATATGGTAGGAGATGTGGTCGTACTCTGATCTGAGAATGGACATACTGAGGGATTCCCTCTGTATCATTCGTCTTTTTCTCATCCGTTAATCCCATATGCTCTCATTGAGATGCACCTAAATCAGAGGTGGGCAATTCCAGTTCCTGAGGTCCGGTATCCTGCAACTTTCAGATCCATCCTTGGTCCAACACACCTGAATCAAATGGCTGAGTTACCTCCTCAATATGCTGTCAGTTCCTCCAGAGTTCTCTCAGTCATCTCTTTACTTGCCTTAGGTGTGTTGTACCAGAGGGACATCTAAAATTTGCAGGATACCTGCTCTCAGGAACTGGAATTGCCCACCCGTGACCCAAATAGAAATCATTGTTTTAAGATAAAGACACAAAAAGAGGATTTTCTAACCAAATTTCCTTATACATTCAAAGGCAGTGAAAGTTATAATCCCACTGCTGAGCTTGGGGAAATGCAATTTCTGTTGTTGGTTTTTAAGGTAATGAGATTAATCACTTTAGAAAATAAATATATTCAGCTTAAAGAGTTGCATAAAGATGAGAGGTAATACTTTCCTATCACAAACATGTAGTCTGGTTTTTTTCTGCCATTATTTCTAAGTTTAAAATGCCTCCATCCCAATACAGCAGAGAGATTTCCTCCTGGGATGGACTAGTTATGTTTTCATTGTTCCATCTCTGTTTGATTTTTCCTTTTCACATCTAACTCATGCAGTGCTGAGGGATTCCCATCTCAAAACTCTCAATTCTGAGGCAAACTGAATGATTTAAAAGCTAAAACTTAACTAAGGTTGCAGGATATAATGTTTTTTCCTTTTATTTTTGCTAGAATGAGGCAAACCTTTTTAAAGTATAATCACTTTTTATGCTAAGGCTGTAAATAGTGTATGACTTGAGGTGATCTGAAAGCATCATGTTTAATGTAAATGAAATGGAGGAACTTCTTATGAAGGATCATGCAAGATAATACTCTGTTTAAGTCAGTTAGAGAACCTGCTGTTAAAAAAAACACCTCAGAGCAGAGGATAAGGATCATTTCTTATTCTCTTCATAATTTACATTATTCCCAATCAATAATAACGCAATACATTATGAATCATGCAACGTTTTTTATTTGCTGGATTGATATAAAGCTGCCATTCATAATCATAAAATGTCTCAGAAAAGTTAATTATATCCTGATCATTTTCACTTCCTTTCTTGTTATTTTAGGGTTTACTAGGAAGCATTTGGCTTTATGTTGGGAAGTTTAATGAGCATTCCTGCCTTACAGTGCCTCTGTGGTCCAGCAGTTCTTTCGGCCTCGTTAAATCTATATTAGAACACAGATCCAGGCTGTGGTGGAGAGCTAAGACTGATGCCTATGTTAGACGTGCTCCTGCTATATATATAAAAAAAAAGACTTCAGCTGTCACATGTGGACGCATTCTATATACTGTATATAACCCATGCACCTTTTTCTTTTTCTCTTTTTAACTATTTGAGCTGATGTGACAAGTACATTTCTCCACTGTGCAATGAATAAGGTCAATCAATCAATGTGAACTCCAACGACTCCACAAAGCTGCAGAGGGAGAGTCTTCCTTCAAGCTTCAAAGACTGTTTTACCTTTTGTGTCTCTAATAAGCAGTTATGTTTAATAAGTTAGAATTTTTGTTCCAGTGAGACTCATTTTTCACCATTAGAAATACTTTTTAATCTAACCTTTTAGTGGGTATTTAACTAACTTTGTATTACACCCAAATTCATTTATTCGGGATGTCAGCTTCGTCTCTAGCTTGTCGTGAATCCTGAACTCCTTAACTGAAGTAAGTCATGTCTGTAGTGTTTTAGTTGTTCTGGTGTTTTGTGACCTCCTGGATGAGTCATAATGTAGTGCAATAAAATGGTAAGAGAAAAGCCAATTAGGGCAAAAAGTCATAACTTATTTCCTTAATGGAAAAAATGTTATCGTCACAAAAACCTTAATTACATCATTGATATTTGAGTACATTAAGAGATAATTTTAGAATTTCCTCTTTTTTAAAAACTGCAGAAGTATAAAAAGACAATGATAAAAGATATTTAAAAGTGTTTCAGCTCTTTGACCAATATTTTTACAGATGGCTGCTGAGTTTTAATTTTAGTCATTCAAAGAAACGAACCATTCCTTAAGTCTGTCTGTCTTACTAAGATGTCTATTTTAAATTGGTCAAAATGATGACATGACCGGTTGATATCATTAAATGCTGAAAAGTTTAACTTTAAGCCTCAGCTGTTTTTAATCGTACACTTTTTACCAAACCGTGACTTTTTATTCTCTATGATATTAAACCCCCAAACGCAGTAGATCTATCATGCAGAATCACACAAGAAATATTCAGAAACAACAGCGTATAAATAATGCTTTCAGGAAATACTTTATTAACCATTTCTAAATGATGTTCAACATCCAATTCAATGTTTGCATTTAGTTTCAGAAAGTTCATTTTTTTTCCTCCCAAACTCACATCTCAAAAATTCACATCTTTTCCCTGATTCCTTAAAATGACTTATTTTCATCTGATCGAGTTTGACATATTCGACATTTAAGTTAAATAAGAAAAAAAATAAACTTGCTATTCTCTCTTTGATTTTTTTTTTTTTTTTTTTACAGCAGTTGGTAGTATTTTACCTCTATCAAGCCAAAAAAAAAAACCAAAAGAAACAAAACAAATAAAGGAACAAAAAACAAAATAAATACAAATTTTAAATAATTTCAACACTGGGTTTGATTTAACAGAGCAACAGTAGCATTTCACATCAGTTGAAGACCAGGTCCAACACAAAGCCATGGATTCCTGTCTGAATATTTTCCAGAGGAAGCGATAAACACGAACAAACAGGCATGCAGAGAGGAAGCCATGACGGTTTGCTTGGACTGGGTCTAGCAGAAGCAGTTAGGAGACAGTGTTAATCATGCAGTGAAAAGGAAATGGAGAATATTACAATCAGGGAACATAAACTTCTAAAATCAAAACTGAAAACTCAACAAGCAGAGTGAATCCAAAATCACCCTTCCACAAAAAAACAAATGGCCATGAACAGGATATTTAAAAAAAAAAAATCATCTTAATTTTCAATGTACAAAGACGGGATTAGTGATTTCAGAAAATGTTTTTTTTTTTTTTTTTCCCTGACAGAGGCAGTGAAGCCCCCCCGTTTATGTAAATCCCCCCAGGCTTCCCCTCCGACCTGTAGTCACGCCGCCCACTCGATCATCGTGGGAATAAAATGTCCGCCGAACCCAGATTCCGTTAGATCACTTCCTGCGATCGTTGCAAAGGGAATCTTTGTGTCGTTAGGATGGAAGGAAGCAGATCCTGAAGACTAAAGCATACACTCACACAGAGGGAAGAGGCAAAATAAAAAATAGACAACAGCTCTCATCCACTGCTAATTCAGTGCATTCGTTTGCCATGACTTCATTTCCCTTTGTGGCTGCGGTGCTCCAATGTGCTTTTGGCAGTTGTACGGAGGCCTGGCAGGGCCACATAGTCATTCTGGAAGCGTGAGTTGGGTGTCCTCTGTCTTTTCCTCTCCCCCTGCGTGGTGAAGAAGGCATCCTGAAAACGCATACTTGAGGCCGTCGACTACAAATCAAGAACAAAGAGAAACAAGTGAGTAGAAATGTTCCACTTGGCTTTTTCACCTTGAAACGGTCCAACCTATGGTACGGTTTACTAATACTTACAAGTCTACGCTTCACCTTTTTAGGAAGATCCTCATCTAAAGTGTAGATATCTTCTCTTTTAGCCAGCACCTGCGATCCATCTTCAAACTCCACCTTAGATTAAATAAAATAGCAATTAGCTAAAGTTTAAGATATATAGTCGCAGTGCATAAAGCATGTGTACATGAATAGGAAAGGATATAAGGAAGGATGCAGGTAAAGTCAGATGGCCATAAGGGAGGAAATAAAGAAGGAATAAGAAGGAGAGTGGAAGAGAGGAGTGTATATACTGTAAAAAAAGAAAAGGACAGGTTGGATGGATGGATGGATGGATGGATGGATGGATGGATGGATGGATGGATGGATGGATGGATGGATGGATGGATGGATGGATG